GGACGGGCCCTGGTCCCGCCCCCGGCCCCCCTGATCTTTTTGTTTTTATGTTTTTAACCCTAGGTGATTTGTTGTTGAGTTGCCCCCCCCCCCCCCCCCCCCCCCTAGTGACCGAAAATGCCTTATTTGCCGACACCAACTGCAGACAACATCAAATTTCTCTCGGATAATTTCATGTTACCGCTCGACGATGCCGCGGATGTCTATCAGCGTAACAAGTGCTCGCTGGGAGCTGCCATCATCGCGACCTTGGAGAGCTATATTGCTATTAACTTGCCACCCGAGACCAATCCTAATCAGCTACGCCAGATAGAAGAACAGCAGAAACGGGTCACCTGGATTCCCTATGAATATTTCAGCCCAATTTTTGATATAACTGCATCGTCTCAGGCCGCAGTCGAGATTATTAACGCACTAGCAGATCACTTCGAAAAGCCAGCGTATATCAAGTATGATGTGTCGTACAACGCTGCCGCCTCGGGCCTCGAGCTAGCCTCTGAGCCCGATGAAATTAATACCAAATCATCTTGGAAGACGGTCCCCTCTTCCAGTTCCAAACTACCATTGGGTCGACAACTGCGCACGAGCCCAACTGCTCTTCAAGAAGCTGGTGCAACTAAGGCAGCACTCGCTGCCTCGGCGAAGCACTCATACGCCTCGGCATCTTCTACCTATAAGAAAGGCAAATCAGATCCGCTAATGCGGCAGGCAGCGGCTTTCTACGCGGAGCGCGGCCGTACCGAAGCTGCTAATTACCGACAAGTGACTAGCATGGAGGCCTCGTTGCTCGTCGACCAGCAGAGCACAGGGGACGTCATCGACCTGCATGGCGTGTCGGTCCAGGACGGCGTCGACATCGCCATCGACCGCGTCTGGGGATGGTGGAACTCCCTGGGCGAGAACAAATTGCGCAAGGCGCGCGCCAACGGACTCGAGATCATCACGGGGTATGGCCGTCATAGCTCGGACGGAAAGTCCCGGCTGCGGATCAATGTCTTCAAAGCCCTTGTCGCAGATGGCTGGAGGGTTCAGGTCTTAACTGGCTCGTACCTTGTCACTGGACGGATCTAAGCTCATGTTTTTTGTTGGTCTTTTTTTCATGCTGTTTTACATTTGCTTCCAATCTTGTTGAGCTTCCTGTTTTCTTGCTTGGGTTGGGAACTCATAGGTTTGGAAGTGCGCTTCTGGCTAGGTACAGGTGTGTTTGGTTTAATTTCAACGTGGATGTCATGACCTGGATACGACGAAAATGATGATAATGTAGTTTGTGTTTCTTAAGAGTGGGCTCGAGGAACAGAGGAATTGGAGACCAAGGGTCTAGACGGGAGTTTTCTGGACTAGACACAGGCCGGACCCTGCTGGTTACCTGTACAAGGTGATTGAGTCTGTTAGATTTATGCCGTGGGTTGTGCGCTCATCTTCTTGTCAGATAGATGGACTGATTGAATAAACCCTTAGAAACAAACTAAATACAATCATGATCTTTGAACTCTAACAACTAACTGTAAAGATCGAGTTGTATATCTATGCATCTCACACATGTGTTTTTTCATCCCGCACCTATAAACTGCTTACAGATGGTTACCTAGATGGAAAACGCCATGTTCAAAACCCGCTCAGACCAATACTGATGCTTCATATAGAAGGTTGTTCCTGCCTTGAACACCTCTCCCCCTCTCTCTTTCAAGGACGTTGAAGTTCTTTTTAGACCTTGACATTCACATTGGTGTTGCCGCCACCCCTGCTCCAGTTCCATTGCCTTTGGAGGAATCCTCTCCTAGCGTCTACTTCTGCGTGTCATATGATTCCTTGCTATCACCAAAGCATATGAGATGGCGAGAAGCAGCTGATTCTATCCTAGCCGGCTTTTTCTCATAATACTTTATTCATCGACTCAATATCTTATCTCATCCGTCGCTCCCTCATCTCTCTGCCTTGGAATAATCCATCATTCACTTTCACAACTGGCATTTACTCAATAGACGTTCACAAAGCTGCAAAGTCCCCGCCTACACACACGAACAAATACGCAATATATATATATATATATATAGATATATCCTACAGTACTATGCTTAAATATTGCCTACCTACCTACCATTGTAGTCTACTACTGTTGGTAGATAGACAGATAGGTAGTTGATCTTTGTCTACTGCAACTCGTGCGTCACCCTTTTTGCAAACGTAGACAAAGGATCCGCACGCACGTAAGGACATGTAGGGGAGCAGCTACAGTAGCTGTATTCCGACTGACCGGTGAGGTAGTAGTGTAACGACAGCCTTGTAAGTAATTCGCTAGCGCTGCTGATAAATCACAAGCCACTGATCGCATCACACGAAAAGGGTGGCGATTACTCACGCAACCTGGTATTTCGCTCACAACTGATATTACATTGGTTGAAGTACACGTAATTAGTATTACATGTAGAGAATGACTGCATGCTCAGGCCAGTGGTGGAGGAGTAGCAACGCAAAACAATTGCGTGCAGACCACGATGTGTGTGTGTGTGGCGTTTTCATTGACCATCTATTCGTAGATATGTGTATCTACCCTCTAGTTGGAAGACTAGGTTTAGTCGCGAAACCCTTTCTGTCTCCAGTGTATTTTTACAATGACAGATGGAATAAGAAATGTGATCAATTCCCGCAGGTATTTTGCGATATTGAGCAATTGGCTCTAAAGGGCAGAAAATTGAAGGAGGATGTGATGAGCAACCCCCAAAATCGCTGGACAAACGCCTCGCTCTTTTTTCCTACTACGAGCCGCGCTATGAGAGACTTGCACGTTATTCGTCGTGCTATTCGTCCATGAGAGCACGCCAAGTTCGCCCTAAAACCGCCTGGGCTTGATGTAGATTCTCCAGCGGGGTGCGCTTAGTGCGGCGCGCATGTGTGGAGGGGTGAAGGATTGACGAAGCAGCGCCCCCTCAGTTTTGTAGCCTCCGGTCACATGGCCGTTGAGCGCCGTTTCCCCGGAATCGCAACGCGAAAAAACTCCCGCGTTTCCGCTCTCTGTTAGGGGGATATGTAACAGTTGGACAAGGACCGCTATGCATGTAATTACTGCTGACAATCATGATGCGAATATACGGGATCGACATTCATCACTTAGACGCAGATTGCTTTTCCTTAGATGATTTTGTGTCCTCGTCCATATAGAGCCGGTTCGCTGTTATGTAGGCAATAACAGGCGAGGGAATCAAATAAGTGATGCTTAAGTCCCTCTTAAGAAGCAGCCTGATCTTAGTGCTACTGACTGCGGTCTCATAATTAGCATGCGAAGAGGCTGCGAACGGTCGGAGGGTAAAGTTGGCATACCATCGTTTTGTATCATTTGTTGAATTACGTAGATGTTGTCTTCCCAAGGCTTGAGGTTACCAAGCGCATCTTCCATGTCGGTTCCGCTTCGCTCAACAATCATGGCACCGAAGCTACCGAGAATGTGGTCTAGATCCTTTTCAGCCCAGACGCCGGGCGTGGACATGGTGCTGATGAGATCAGCTCCAGCCAAGAGCATGATCTTGACGGGTCGCCGGCTCTGACCGTCGGCGCTCAAGACGCCGCCCAACACCCCGTTGATCTCATGCTCGAAGTGATCCAGCACGGCAGCCGTGGGGCTGTACTCGGGCTGTATAGCCTCATACGGATCAACCATGAGCCAGTCCGACGTCTCCTCAGCCGCTAGTTCACACATGCGTACTCTAGGCGGGGCATCACGCATTAGCATCCGGGCAAGCGGAAACAGTTGACACATACGGGGACCAAAAGGGCAGGGTTACCTGTGCACTGATGGCGCCAGACCGGCTTTCTTGTAGGCATCTGATACGGGGCTGAGGTAGCCCCCGACCACCTCGAAGTTGGTGTTCATCCTCGCGTAGTCGTTGGCCATCTCGAACATGCGTAGATGGAGAAATGTGATGGGCGAGAAACTGCCGCAGGCGACGAGCACCAGCGGAATGCGGTCGGGCTCCTCTTGTTGCCGCCGCAAGCGGTGGGATGGGAATCTGTAGTTGTCGAGCGTCATGCTGGATGCAGCGTTCGGGGGTGCTGGAGGCACATTGGATGTCGAGTGGGATGTCATCGTGTCGCCTCGTCTCGGGCGGTAGAATAGGGAAAGAAAAGACTTGTCGAGCACCTGGATCCAAATCCCAATCCCGGTTCCAGTTCCAGTTCAAATCAAAATAGCGAGGTGATGGGTGACTGAGATGCACAATGCTTAAGAACTAGATTGAGTTGCTATGCGCTCGCATGAAGTTCTAAGGTCTGATGTAGTGGCGTGAATGAATTGGCTCAAAGGACCAAGCAATCAAAGAGAAGATGATGGGTACAGAATGCGTATAAGTGCTTGGAGAGGTACTTATTAATAGGTAAGAAAGAGCCTGGAAGATCGGTGGTCTAAGTACTACTTTAGGTGCTACAGTAGGTACGGTTAGAGTGCTCTGGAGTACTCTGGACAGACTCTGGAGTACCTAGTAGGTAGGGGGCCTTGATGCCTACATACATACTTACCTAGTACAGTAGGTAGGTTAGGTAGGTACATGTAGGCATCTACTTCGTACATGTGTAAGTAGCTAAATAGACAGGTTGAAGTAGACGGAAGTAGACAAGGTGGACAGATACATAGAACTCATCACAGTAGCCCAAGTGTTCAGCAGTCTTCCCTAAGTATAAAGTACTCCCCGCTTACAGTACCCCATACTACATCACAGCGTGCTCAGGTGACAGGGCAGCTCTCCGAGCAAAGGAGGAGAGCCCTGTAAGTTAGTCTCCTGACGTTCCTCCTGGGGGGAACCGTTAGGGGGTTCAGAGGGGTTCTAGCCTACAACTGGTAGGACTGCCACCACTGTGGGTACGTAACTCCGTTTCAACAGGCTGCCGGGTTCTCGGCCATCGTCGGCGTTCCACACCTCTGCCACAATGTACCAGGTTAAAGCCCCGCTCTGCCCCGCTGTCCCACCTTTCCCGGTCGCCCATCGCACATTGCCCGCAGTGCTTTTGCCGGCCTCGCTATGTAGCTCAAGACGCTTTCGAGGCTTTCTCCAACCCACGTCGACGCTGTCTCGGCTGTTTTGCTGTAGAGACCGTCCAGGCGAATTATGCGTACTGACTACTAAAGGATCGTCTCCTTGGCAGCAATATGTGCCTACCTATCGTATTAAATATGGCTGCTCCTATCTCGTATGTGTGTGTCTGAGCACTCGGGTGTGTATTAATACGCCGTTGCTGATTCCGATATGGTGCTGAGTATTGGAGGGTTAGGCCACCAATCTCCTGCTATTTTCATCTGAACGGGAGAAGCCCCTATGATGATGCCATCGCCTCGGCTTCGAGGTGCATCATTCAGCAAAACCCCGAAATCACTTAAAATATGTAACATGCTGTAATTTCTATCCAAGAACCAAGTTTACTCCAAGCTGTACCATAACGCTAACTTTGTATATCCATTTTAACGTGCCATTTTTATCGCCATGTGTATAATTAATTTCACATCGAGTGTACATATTCAGTCATCGTACTCGTCCTCAGAGTCACTAACGTCATCTGGCACTAAACCCCTACGCCGGCGCGCCGCCAGATCATCTGCCAATCCACCCTCGTGCTCAGGGTCGGCATATCCATCGCCCCCAATTAGAGACAACGCCACTGGGAGGAAGATGAGCGCGTGTGTCGCCGCAAAGACGACCAGCGCCAGCCACACCCGGAAATAATAGATCTCAAAGATCTTAGAGCGAGTAAAAGCCAACACGCACACACCGAGAAGCTTAGTAACCGTGATGCCGCTGAAGACGGAGCCGCCGACGTTAACAAGCGCAGTCCAGGCACGAGCATCACGCCCTCGGAACCGGCTCTTGGCTCGCTCCATAACCGAGCCAGAGGGAAACATGAAAGCACGGGCAATATGCGCGCAGAACTCGACGGCAATGCCGACACAGATGATCAGGTTGACTAGAGACACGGCATTGAGAGACACATCGAAAACAGCCATGGCGCCGATTATGTCAACAACCGTCATCACGACTGTGAGAGTCACCACAAGCGCCGTGACCACGGACCCCAAGAGAACGGTGGAAACCGCAAAGATGATGCCGACAGCTGAGCCCAGCAATGCCCCGGTTAACTTCACGATGCTCGCGTACTGGTCGAAGAAGATGTAGAAGACACTATAAGGGAAAACCTCTGCGCCAGTGTTTGCGCTGACTCCATTAGCGATGCGTCGCGCAGCGGCATAGGCCTTGATGAAGTCATCTTGACTGCGCAGGGGTTTGTGTGTGGTCCTGAAGTGACTGGCGGGTACGTCAATGTTCGCTGAATCCACCACTACTGCTTTGCCGTAAGAAGCCCGGCCACCCAGAGGACATTCATCCGTAGTCGGTGCTACCAAGAATTTCTCCAAGTAATGCACAAACTCGTCGCCTTCCGGCATACCGTCGAGAGTGATATTCCAAGCTGGATCTCGCTGGGCAAAGCAGACTTTACCATTTTCCTTGCAGCAAGCCTCATTTTCAGGCTTTAGCCACAAAAAGAAATCATCAATCCAGCTCGCAGTTGGGGAGGAAATGTAAGATACATCTGGGCGCTTGCGCTCCTGCTCAAGTACTGTCGCGAGAGATAACGGCTCGCAAGTGCTAAAGCGTGAACAGACGTCTTGTTGGTGTGAACGCTCCGTAGTGTTTAGGCCCTTCGTTACAAAGTAAACAGGAGGACCGGCGTCAAGATATTTGTACATGTCGTTGAAGTAATCGATGAGATATGAGTCATCGGGGAGAGCTACGCGTTGGTCCAAACCAAGCTTCACATAAGGAATCAGCGCTACCCCGGCGGCTAGTAGACCAAAGAAGACCGTAACAATAACGACCTTAACCTTCTTCCCGAGTAGAGCGGGGGCGTAGTGTTTGCGGATGAACTGCTGGAGTAAGCTCTCCTCTGGCATATCGTACGGGCGAGGGCCGTTATTCCCATTACTACTGAGGTGGACGCGGGCATTCATGACCTGAATGCAAGGGAAGCAATCGGCTCTGTTGTCTTCGATCCGGATCTGGTTATAGGACAGAATCGATATGAATAATGTCATCTGTAGCAGGGCATTGATAAATACAGCACCTGCAGCGTACACGGCGAAGTTTCGGACTGCTGGCATTCCAACGAAGGCACCCAGTGCGAATGAGACCGTCTCCGTAATAGCAGAAAAGAGGATCGAGGGCCCCATTCTACCAAGTGCTTTCGCAATTCTTTCCTCAACCATTGCATCTGGGTAGCTTTGGTTTACACGATCAAATTCGTGAACAATCAGAAATATGTTATCCACGCCAACGGCTAGGACAATGAAGGGAATGACCTCCGCGATGATTAAGGTAGCTTTTACGCCAGCCCAAGAGAACAGGCCAATAGATGATGTAATTGACATCAGGACAATTAAGATGCCAACAAGTCCGAGCGTAAACTTGCTTTGAACAAATCCGATAGATGGGTTACGCATTAATTCGCGAATTGTTACGCCGCTCGAGCCCAGCGCAATCGAGGCGTAGAAGAACATGACGAGATAACTTATCACGACAATAGTAGCATCAGTATTGGTGGACTTGTTCAGCTCTTGCTCCAAACTGATCTCTGTCGAAAAGGAAAGCCTCAAGCCACGAGCGGTCGCTTCGCCTTGGGCCACCAAGAGCCGATCCTTCAGGGCCCTTTCCCAATCCTGTGCGTGTGCAAGCTCCGAGCTTCCTTCCGGGAAGTTATTCACAACCCAAGTGACGGTGATTGCAGGGGCGTCAGCAATATCATCAAGCCCTTCAAAGCCACCGAGGATCATGTTGGGATCAATTGGTTGATCAAAATCGGGTCGGCACATAACAGGGGATGCAGCGCATTGCCTGAACGCGGATTTCCAGTTTTCGGTGCCATCAAACCAAACTGTAGGGGATTCAACAACGCATGCAGATCCGGTAGGCTTGAAGCAAACATCCTGGAACGAAGTGCCAAAATCTGAACCTTTCAGCTGTCTGACGTCTTTCTCGACATCAGCCCACCAGGTGAGCGTATCATAACTTAGGACTGGGCGAGTCCCCGAAGTTGTAGTATCATTAACTAAAAATACCTTTTCTGCACGATAGAAGGCGCCAAAGTTGTCGTCGAAGAAGGCTTTCTCCTGGGCAGCTGAGGAATCCGGACTCACCCATAGGCGTACTGGCTCTCTTTCGACGTCAAATTTAATCCAACCGATACTCAGGGCAACAACGACAATTAGACTAGACACAATTGTAATGGCGGGGAATCTAGCGCAGAAGTGACCCAACTTGCTGAACGCAGCATCACACCATGTGTTGAGTCGGTAATGCTTTGGGCTTCGTTGATAATTAACTTCTTCACGTAGCAGATCGCCTTCGTCCTCGTCGTCACTTGGTTCCGCCCCCTGCAGCAAATGGAGCCGTTCGCTACGGCGCTGTGCGCGCCTTCTCCAGGCGACATGTCCGATCACGGCACATACTAGCGTAAACAAAAGTATCGAGTACGTGAAGATGGAAGCGAATGTCAAGCAAGGAAGTACACCCACACGGCATGAACCGGCCTCCTCAACGGCAGGGAGCGCCGGGCATACGGCCGGACAGTCGACACATGCACAACGGAAATTAGGGTCTTCATCATTGCATTTCTTGGGTTTCATCTCTAGCGGATCCATGCTAGGTTCAGAGTACTGCCGGGGGAAGTTGATCTGGAAAGGTGAACCGAGAGCCTGCTCTTTGCCGAGAAATTTGAGGAGTTCTGTGTAGTTCGTCGCACCGCCACCGATGAAATTCATGGCTCTGGAATTAGATGGACCGAATTTGACCTCCTTGCAACTATCGTAGAACCCTTCGCCATATTCTTTTGTAACGAGCTGGTCAATCTCGGCAACAGCAATACCACCACTGAGCTTCTGGGTTCGAGTGACGTTGACGAAAAGGGACTGGTCAGGCGAGCATGTGAAGGTACAAAAAAGGTTGTAGAAGTTGTCTTTACAAGCTGGACAACTGCCGATGATCTGGTTGGGGGTGGAGAGCTCGTTCTTCAGGGAGTTGAGCTGGAGTCCAGTGTTAGCATCGTATTGAGGGTGGTTATCTAAACCGGGAGGTGGGTTTCGTAGAAAACATACCTGTTCAGAGTCGCAGCACACCTTGCTGTCCTTCCATTTGGGGCCGCATAGCTCCTCGATTTCCTTAGCAAAATCGTCATCGGGAGTTTTGGCGAGACCGTTGTCGACGCAAGGCAGAGCCTTTCCGAAGAAGCCTTTCTTCCCACAGTGCCCACGCAGCGCACATCGACCTGCCTCGTGCTTCGGAGTGAAGAGTTCATCGGCGGTAGAACGGGCGACCAGCAGTGCAGCAGCAACGCTGATGAGGGAGGATATTCGCGCCATAATGGCACCCTATTGCTACGGCAGAGGAGGGAGCACCAGCATAGGCATGCAGTCGATAAGAGGGCGGTTTTGAATATGGCAGGTGGTAGGATGGCGCTCTACTGCCTATCGAGAGTGATGATAGTAATGGTGAAAGTGATGGTGACGGACGATGATGGACGATAATGATGATGATGATGCTACTAACGGAGGATGAGTGGGCTAGACGAGGTAGGTAGGTGTTTCGCGAAGGCGCTTGCCAAATCGGGACATATGGCTACCGGTGTCCTGCGTCATCAGGTGCAGGTGGGGCCCTCCACAGCGCCCTCCACACACCGGACCTTGCCAAGGCCTGCCACGGCGCCAGGTTGCAGGCTTGGCGGGTCTAGCCGAGGGCACAGTCAAGTGTGATCAAGTTTGGACGGCATACTTATACATAAACCTCGTAAATCCACCCAGCCTACATACTTGTATAGTCACGATAGGGTTGCTACTCACTTGCGTACATATATAGTAAGTATCTATGTCTACCTAGCTACACCAGTAGGCAGCTATATACAAGTTCCTGGTCTGCGTAAGGGCAGGCCAGCACTTAGGCACTGTCAAAGTGACACAGATGCTGTATAAGTTAGTAAGGAATTGTAATATCACGAAGGCAAAGGGAATACTCAAAGTAAAGATAACACGCATATCAAGGTTAGTCATATATGAGAAGGTTCTTAATACAGCAGTAGAGACTCAACTCATGACACATCACTAGGAAGGTATTCACACATGTGATAATACACAATCTATTTTCATGCCCAAACCCTAGCTCTAAAACGCCTTATTTACGTGTATACGCTGTCAAAACATGCTTAGAATCAATACTCAAAGCTTTCAAACACAACGTCTTCGCCCTCTGTCCACTGTAAAAGAGTCTTCATCATACCCGGGCCCGTACAGCAAAAGAACTTCCTCCTCCCACTCTCTCCAATGCTCAGGACATCGTCTCTCGCCATTCTCCTGTCTACAGCCTGGGCCCCCATGTTCTGTACCGTATCCAGGACTTTCCTCCTATCTTGCGATTCGTCCAACGATCCCGTGACAAAGAGCTTAGTAACAGGCCCAAGCCCCTCTATTCTAGTAAAAGCATCCACGGCAAAAGGTAAGTCCTCAGCTCGTAAACTCCAGAGGACCTGAAGACCGCCCCTTTCCCCAGAATCCTGCATTTCAAGTACAGCAGCGGCTTGTGCTAGAAGCGGTGTGATTCCTACGCCGCCAGCAATGAACACGCTCTCCTTGGTGTGCCTATCGCTCTTTACGCGAGCCACCGGCATGCGGAAGTCCTCGACTCCGCCGAAGCCGAGGACGGGAACTTCAAGGGGAACACGCAGGTTCCAGTTCGCGAGGAGCGCGGTTGCGGATCCATGTCGCCTCACGACGATCTCGAGCTCCGGCTCGACCCCAACACGTAGGAGACGTAGTTCAGACGAAGTTGCTACTTTTCCGTCTGCTTCTATACTTTCCGCCACATCGGCAAGAGATTTACGATCCAAAGGCGCACTGATCGTGAAGGTGCGAACGAAATCGTCGTTCAGACTCTGCGGATCCTCATCCCGCATGTGCGAGTATCCATGATCGAGCTCGGAGGAGAAGTCGAAGGTGACATGCTGACCAGGGAACCAAGCACGCAGGCCTCTTCTATCCCTTTTCTGGTTTTCCGGCGGCTTTAATATAAATACGTAACGCGATATTGTAGGCGTAATAACCTGTCTCGTCAGCAGCGTAGCTATAGCAATAGCGTTTGTATTCCCGTCTTCTTGAATTATACTCTTCTCTGTAGCTAGCGGTCTCACAGGCGGGTTATAGGGTGAGTGGTCGATGAAATGCCCGCGAAACGGAAGCCCGCCACGGACGAACCTCGCCTCGGTAACATCGATACGGACGGCGAGTTTCGCACGCGGCATGTACGTCGCAGCACGTTCCCCAACCAGTATCGTAGTCCTCCCTGTAAGATACAGGACATCAGACGTCTCGAAATCAGGAATGACAAGGCCGGCCACCGGGTCTTCGTTGAGGTTCCCTAACGTCTGATATAGGCGATTACCCGAGTATTCCGGGTAAACGAGCACGAGGCCCCCTTCACCACCAGTCCTGCCACCACTAGCTTCATTCCGGAATACACGCACAAAGCCCGGCGGTCCGCCTCGGTGGTTCACGTCCATGCCTCCGTCTCCATGTTTGCTAGCAATGAAGAATAAATCTGCCTTCTCGATCAACTCCACTGCCTCCCGCGGCAGAGGAAGTCCTTTATCGACCGATACCAGCTGAGGCGTCGGCACGTGGGGTACAATATGTTTCTTATTTAGGTACTTCGGACAATTTCCCAGGGCCTCCTCCACCGCAAACGCTATCTGCAAGTTCGCCACACCAGGCGAAGTATGTGCCGCAGAGCCTGCGATGAACCGGCCGGCAAGCTTGAGCCGATCACGGGTCTCTAGGTCGATAGAGAGCGCAGCCATGATCTTTCCTCCTTCAAACTTGATCACTTCTTCGGTGATGATCGATCTTGTTCGCGGCTCCAAGTCGGTTTCCTCGGCATTTGACTTCTGCACATCACCCTGAGCAGCAAAAAGTGCCTGCATCACGGGGTCGAAACGTGCGTCGGTGGCACTATTCACGCCGAGCACATTCTCCGCAATGGGACGACAGAAACCGGCCTCGCCGCCCCAGACAGTAACCCATGGATTTCCATACTTGTCAAGAGTCCCGAAAGCTACCAGTGGAGAGACGGTTACGCGATGGGCGTGTGCCTGCTTCAGCCCGTAAACTGTGGGGTTATTTCGGGCAGGTATTCCTAGCATGCGTTGGACGGCCAGTTCGCCGGGGTGCCACTGCGAGTGCAAAGGTGTCACGACAGCCATTGCTAATTGTAAATATATGTACCCGTAGACTCGAACTTATATACTATATTGTAGAAATGTAATAAGTGTATATGAATCTAAATTGCGACAGATTGGTAATTTGATAGATGGTCCTTTCTTCAATATCAGGAAAGTTGAACAATCATCTATGCGACATGGATGAATAAACGGATTAATCAATTAGAAGAGGGCAAAACCATTGAAAGACACTTCTTCAAATTGGAGGCGAAGCCCAACAATTATAAGAGGTTAACTAATATCACCATTACACCTCACAAAATGGCCAAAGACGAGACAATTTCGTCACCAAGCTAATGCCGAAGGCTTTCCTTCAAACGGCATCTTGTATTACACATTCGCGCCACTTACTGAATACCATACTTTCTTTAGCAGCCCATTTCGCGATATGGTCGAGTCAGTAGGATATCTAAGTACTGTAAGTACTGTAGAGCTGGCGCCATAATGAGGTTAGATAGTGGGGGATGCATCGCTTATAAATCTGAGAAGGGCGCGCCCAACTAGAATCAAATCCCGAGGAGACACTTTATGCCCTCCCAACCTTTCTAGGTTAGGTGGCAGTATTCTGCTGTCTCTTTGGCTCCCACTTCTCCAAAATCATTGCGTTGTTGATAGGTATTCTAATACCTAAATCTTTAGATTTCAGCCGGCAAACCCCGCACAGTCATTCCTTTAGTGCGAGGTAAACATCATTCTATTCCTCATATGGACCGCGGGATGGGGTGTTTTACAATTCGTGAATAGCGATCCCATACCATTGATTTCCTAAAGCTTATCTACAATATTTCTATAATCGAATCTAAGCAGACCGCAAGCCCTCTTCTCCATCATCTCGAGACTACTTAGTCCTCAATTCATTTAACTTCACGAATGAAATCCCACAAGGGACCTGGCGTAATGCCATGGAAAATAAAACTTTATTGTACAGTAGCCGTGATCGGCTATAGTAATTCGTTCCCTTCTAAGCTCGATTACATCTTCTGATACATCAATACATCAATACCTTGAATTATCGTAATTATATCTATCTCCATAATTCCTCTGGCCCGCATTCATTCCTACATCACTGGGGTAATCACCCTGGCGCATGGGCTGCGGCGCCGTCATATTTCGCTGAGGCTGGAAGCGTTGTTGTCGAGGTAGTGGGCCTGTGGCACTGCGGGCGGGTGGGTAAGCCGGGCCATTCAACCCTGGGTTTTGGTAGCCGGATTGCGCCGGACTTGAACGAGGACCAGGACTCGAGTATGCCGAAGAACCTACAATAGGCCGGCCTTCATTATAGAGAGGGCGGTTGGGCAGGCTCCGCTCGTTCATGGAGTACGGAGATGGCCCATTCATCCCACCTAGGCCTGAAGCCGGGGAGAGGGCACGCTCAGGCCGAGATGGTAACATATCGGGGGAACGTAAACCATTAATTGATGGGATTGTCGGAACAGGCGATGCTGATCGATCGAAGCCCATGTCAGCGGCACTAGCGATTAGGGGAGCGCGAGACGAGTAGCTATTGGTTGATACACTAGTGGCGTTTGTTGGTTGTCGTGTCGGTAGCGGCCGCTTCTTATCTAATGAACCCAGTTCGATGCTCCCTGGAGTTCCTGGTCGTGAAGAATATACAGGTAGAGTTGCCATAGTATCGTTTCGACTCAACATCGGCATCTCAGGTAACGCGTCGCCCTTTTCCACATCCATAAATGAAGGCAGGCTCGCTTCACGGTCAAGAATTGATTGCTCGCTTGTGGATTTAGAACCCTTGCCGTTCGCGTGTGTTCGTTTCCAATCCTCTTTAGCCAGAGCCTTGTTAATTTTTTTCGTTACGATACCCTTTAATCGTTTGTTGACTTTACGTTCACAGTAGCCGTGTAAACCACCGTCTTGGCGGGGGATGTAATGCCAAAGAAAGAAGACGTAGAACAATATTCCGAGGAGAAGAAACAAGAAGGAGAAAATCCAAATCACTAGTGTAAACAACATGCCCGACAAGATCACAGCTTGTTGGGTATTTTCCGCTGCTAAAGCCCGGATATTAGAAAAGAAACCGCCGATAGTGCTCTCGAATGATGAAGCGTCATCGGGGGTAAGGTTGAGAGTATAAACACCATAGAGTGTCAATGCATTCACTGCTTGACGAGGTCCAGAGCAGACGAGTACTCGGATCCATGCTGGAAAAAGTTAGTAAATGAGCTCTACATATCATACGTACAATAGTCATGAGGAAATGAGTACACTAACATTGCAAGCTGAAGTATGAGAACAGTGCCACATATTCAGCTCCTTTCTTGGATTTGGTGAGTTCTGCGAAAACTAGAAATCGCCTCCAGCCTTGACCCTTGCCGAGACGAATACTTTCTAGACGGACGGCTAGAGTGTCAAGGTAGCATTCAGCAACGCTACCTCGCTTCATAACACGCCAAGCACGGAAATGCTCGAATATAAGGTTGACGAAAGTGGCAATAATGGTGCCAGCGAAAATCCATTTCGTCTGATCGAAAGTAAGCAGCTGAGTGGGCTCAATGGATGATGACCATTGGTTAAAAGCTAGCAAGTTGACGGCAGTGAAGATATCGACACCATACACAGCCAAAGAGAGTATGATAGAGAAGTAGAGGTAGCCATAGGCCAGATATGCAAAGACTGAGGACGATTTAAAATCCCGTAAACTCTATTTAAAAAGCTATTAGTATTCCAAACACGCCCAGAAGATAAGGCATCGATCACTAACAATGGCGTTCCACTGTTGTTCCGGCTGAATTTCTGCCGCTTTCCGCGTTGTCCCAAGGAACATCATCTTGTTTAATCGTAATGAGGCCCCGAGCCTTAGCCAACGTTTCAGGTAATCGAGTAAATTGAGGGAATCGTGAAATCGACGCAGTCGATGAGGGGTATCAAAATCTTCTTCGTTAATCCAAAGGGAAAAGTGAATCCAAGATATTTATTGCTGTCGTCGTCGTCGTCGCCGTCGTCGTCCAAATCTATTGGACCAAATCCGCCGGTGATTTAAGATTGGTGTTTGTCGACGCAGTCCCGCCGTCGCGCACAGTCGCCCCTCGCCTGCGAAGTATACGACTGTGCTTCCAAGATAACAAGGCCGCGCTGCTGGTTGACTCAGATTTGAAGTTGCAGGAAGTTTCGGTAAAGGTCCTGAAGGAAAGGAAAGAGGTGTCGCCTAATTGCAGTGAAAACGCCGGCGCACACCTATCGTCGGTCAGACAGAATACCAGCGGAAAGGTACTGCCGACGTATTAAACAACCGCTTTTGAACCACGACCTCAGATAAAGGCGACAAGGTTAGATGGATCCAACCAACACAACTCTATACTAAGGCCCAGTACCTAGGTACTAGGAAGCCAGGCTGGGAGGGATGGCCTGAATGGTAAAAAAGGGGAAATAGAAAGAGCGTAAGAGGTCAGGCCAAGTTTGATCGTCCCCGCGTCGAAGGGCTGGACACACAATAACAGTTGGCCGCGGCCAAGGTCTACTTAGCAGAGGTATCGGATGAGAACACAGGGACAAGTTGCCTCCGGGGTCAGATGTCACATCAATGCGTCGTGGGGTAGGGCTGGGACAAGAGAATGATTGTGCCGGTCTGTGCCGGGTACAGGTATCAATTGATGAAGAAAGACTGGACGACTGGCTAGAGCAGTCAACAAAATGCACAGAAGAGAGTGTATCGGTTGGCACGAAGCAATCAACGGCGAAGCAGCTCTGCCGGTCAACGACAACACGACACCTTGCGCACGAGAAGCCAGCGAGGAGGATCTCGGAAAGGAGAAGGGAGTGCAGGTCGCACAGCAGGCTGGGTGTAAGCGGCCTCTCCCTCCTTACTATACTACCTACCGGTATAAGCTTAAGAGAGAGGGGGGCCGGGCGTGTTTCGACATTCTGTACTGGGCAAGTAGTGCCCGCAGAGGAGTTGGAATTGCAGGGATCTTGTTTCACCCGCCCGCGACCCGGTGGCCCGCTTGTTGCGCGTAGAGCTGGAATGCGCTGATCCAATTGGCCGCGATTCTCAGCGCCCTCAGAGTGAAGGTGTTATCATGGTGGAGTGGAACCGGACAGGCTGACCCCGGATTGGAGGCGACGCTTTCGTACCGTGTGGTCCGTCGTGGTGCGTCGCTGGCGTCGCCGAAGCGTAAGCAAGATATGCAAGGTACCCGCTCCAGTTGGTGTGGCCGGCGCCAATCGCCCATCGCCAACCCTCTTCGCTTGCCGCGTTATCCCAACGAATCTGAGTTACTGCAGGATGATAGGTATATTGCGAGCACTACCTAGTACAATCGTGTTGGCGCCAAGTAGACATTTGTGGTTCTAGTGCAGTGGTAGTTAAGACGTCCTCATGTACCTAGGAGGTAAGCATATCATCATGTACGTCGAGCGCGCGTTTATCCCTCGGTGCTGCTCTCTTCCCAACCAAATAGCCGCCGATCCGCCCAAAAGACGCATTTTCTTGTTAGTTGTCCGAGACTGTGTTTATTTTGGGCTTTGATACGTCTTGATTTCGGCCGAAGCAACATATACATTTTCTGACCTTATAGATTATCTACTGAGTACGCATAGATCGCCTGCTCTATTTTGAGCTATACATTGCTATGGCCATCACCAGACAAGGAAAGATACCTACTCGGACTTTTATGTCGAAACCCATCGGCCAGTCCAGTGAAGCTGAAGATAGCGGTCTCTGATCAATCGATGTACGGTCTGGGAATATTTGCTGAGCTCTAGATGCTTAAATTGATATGATTCCACCAGCAACCGCAATCCTCAGGCAAGAAATGTATACGCACACGTGTCTTGGTGCACACTTGTACATCAGCACCAACGCTCATGATGCTAGCGGCTACTCATTTTCGGTGCAAGGGCTAGATCTTATTCAGATTGCCTACTAAATTGTGCCATCTATTCATTTGATACAGGGCTTTCCACACCATTCCTGTTGTTGAGTGCCTTTAACTAACTTTCTACTACAATCTGGAAGTAAAATGTCTCATGAGGATAAAGAGAGCCCAGTTGGCCGTTTTGGGTAATAGCCCTTTTGGAATGCAAACCATCCCCCCAACGGTTATGGACAAAGCCATTCAGAGACCTCACTTGGGGGGTTCGTCAAAACGCATGGCCATCCTTCATCCTCCAATACTTCTTTCATCTATTGTGCTGAGTTCCTCTTCCTCCCCAAGCTTGTTTTTGAAATTCGAGCAGACCACAATCATGGAGGCCAACAAAACCCCCTATCCCGATTTTGACAATAGCGGGCTGAAATATGAGTTCGTTACCGAAATGTCAGCTGATATCTGGAAGATATCCCGCAAAAGTGATCGAATGGAGTATCTCGCTCAGAATGTCACATTCATGATTTTGAGAGATGATAAGGGTGATCGGGAACTGACAGACTATGGTCACTTACTAGCGCCCCATGGCGAGGATTTGATTCAGCAAATCAAGGTGGTTTTGAATCACCCAAATCTAGTAAACTTAGTTGACAGCTTCGCCATCGACTTCTCCCCCGCAGGTAGTCGCAGTCGCAAGCAATGGTTCTTGGTCTGGGACTATTGTGACGCTGGCAATCTTGGGAACCTTTTTGTACCGCCGCAACCACGGCCTCAAGATCGTCCTTCCTCACTAACTGTGAAAGAGGAGGATGGGAATGGGGACACGGAAATGAAAGACATGCCTCTTTCCACTAAGGCGCAGGAGGAGCATCAGATGTTTTTGCCGGAATCCTTCTGCTGGCATGTTCTAACCTCAGTACTAAGAGCCCTCGCATGGCTGCATGATGGTATCCGCGACGTGGTGGTGCAGGACAGACACTGGGAAAGGTTAGGCGAAGACATAGACTGGTCGCCCATGCTGCATCGTAACATCACACCCCAAAACATCTTTCTAGGCCATCCTCGCCGTCGGGAGTCGTACGGCCCCGTAAAACTTGGTAATTACGGTCGTCTATTTGTTTCAGGACACTGCCAAATCGCAGGGGATAAGCACGAACCCACCTTGTCGAAAGCAATCGGGCCGCATCCGAGTCAAGACTACACACCTCTTGATGAATTGATCGCTCTTGACATGTCACTCGGCAACGTATATCCCTATCAAGTAAGTTAGACCCAGTAGATGCAAACTAGGCCGATGCTGACTTGGAGACTAGCCCGATCAACCCTATACTATGATCAGTGAATACAGGGCTCTCGGCGAGATCATACAGGGTATGATGATTGAGCCCACCGGAGGCTCACATATAGCCAAGATACAGTCGAAGCGTCCTCGAGAGAACGTAGCAAACACGAAATACACGGGGCGGCTGAAGAATTTCGTGGTCAAGCTGATGGAAGTCGATCCATGGAGCAAGTTATTCGAAGCAGAGCCCAACCCGGCGTTCGTGACAAGCGACCTATACCGTGAAGCCCTAGAAGGAGCCGAGTGGTTCGTAACAGCAGCCGGCAATGATGGTGATGCTTATGTAGCATCCCGAATGGCTGAAGCGGAAGACTACGTCGAGAACACAGAAACCAGGGCCCAGCAACTGTTTGGTTCATATTTGAATGTCCAGGAAGTACTAGAGAAGTTCAAGAGCGAACCACCTTCTGACGGTGGTGCGTGGCATTTAGATAGTAGTGGGCTTTTCTAAGCAGCAGCACTCAGACATTAAGACGTGATGAGGTGTAATAAAGAATTCGGATAGACCCTGCTTACTGTTTTTCGTAATTCATAAGTAAACAGTAATTGTGACTTAGGGAATCTTAGGGAATAGGAGATTCGTATTCAGCGGTGCCGTATTAACATGTACAAGCCCTTTTTGGATGTTATACATACTTATATACTCTGTAGTAGGATTTGGTGAAAATAGAAAGCACTAAGCTAACATTGAAGACCCTAGAGCAGATCAGGATCAGAGGGTGAGGGAGGTGGTAGCGTCGGCCCACCGCTTACACCAGAGGCTGGGGTACCTTCCAGTTTCGTTTCCACCCGCCTCCCTGGGTACGATTAGGTAATCCTCCGAGATGCGCATAGGTAGCTGACCTCACCTTCTTCATTGCAATAGAACATTCACGACGAAACACTCCCATCCCCAGAGCTACTTGCACATAATCACGAGCAGTCGGAAGTCATCATCAACCGGTCCCATGCAATAGAAGACCCGTCTTATCCACCGCAAGCCCTCGGAAGTTCGCCTGTTTCGCTGACTCCTCCCAACCGCGAGATCGATCTCGCTACCGGCCTGGATGCCCATCGGGAGCTTGGAGGCTCTGTTATTTTTGTTCACTGCTTGATTGTTGATCAGAAATAGAGGAAAACCGAACATGTCAGTTGCAGCGCCTACGCCGCCACTACTCCTCACGAAACGACTCACTGCCTTCCTACGAGCGAACCTGTCCCCTCAAATCCACAGTAGCCTTTTGACTACTGTCGCCGGCAAGCTCCTCACCCATGCCTCACCACACTCTGTTGCCACATTACGTACTCAGGCGACTGTCGCTGCCTCCCTTTGGGCTCTGTACTCTGCCCCGTCCACTGGCGCTACCATAGAAAATGCGCTACCATCACACTCGTCGTCGACTTTGGTCGGTAAACAAACATCAAGTGCGATCACAGTCCAGCTTGCAGGCGCTGTTGTAGCTATTAGACATCTTCGGTGTGGCTTGCTTTTCATATGTATCGGCCCGCCCGCTGAGTCACCCGCTTCTATATCGCCACGACATTCTCAGCAGCAGAGCCGGCCGATGCAGACTCCACAAGCCAACCTTGATTCACAACCTAGCCCTCTCTTGGGCTCGCCTTCGGAAGTCGAAAGTGTTACTAGTACTGGTGGCGCAACCACTGCTAGCATCGTGACATCAAATAGTGTTGGTGCATCGGCTGTAGTGGCTATGAGACGGCAGGCCGAAGAACTGGCACGTTGCTTGAATGAGAGGCTAGGCGCTTTGGATGTTCCAGACGAGACAACGGGATCGCTCGAGTTACGCTGAATCCACCAAATCCACCCTGAATATATCCATGCGATGTCGCCGAAGAGATCAACGACTTCTCTTCACGCATCTTTTCAGCAGATCTTATTCGCAACATCAGTGCTGACCATATCATACATTCTTGCTGCGCGACGTCGTGCAGTAGCTTGCGTTCGCCGGCCCTTCATATTTATATTATATCTAGGACATGCTCGTGGTGCCTACAACGTGACACATAACAGACCCTACTCAACATATTATGGAATATCACTAGACAAATATCCTACTCATCGCGATGCTCATTACTGTATTCACGGCTAATAGACTTACGCGATCTCGGATGAAACAGACTCTCAGTAGCCAATCGGCTCCATAAGCGACTGTGTTGACAGAAAGTGGGAAGATCAGCTCTAGCATACCCAAAATCGGCGAAATTGATCTATGACGCGTTCTTGGTGCGCATCAGGCTGTTTGACTGAGGTCTGATTGCACAGTATTTGATTGGAAATTCTTGTGGCGTTTCTATTAGAAACTTCTTTTGAAATTCATTCTTTCCCCGGTTGTTTGCTAAACCCACAACCATGGGAATGCTCGTATGAATTTCCCAGCACTATGAATAGTCGTTGGACGATATCCGGCTCCAGCATTTTTAGTTGCTGTCTATGTATTATATCAGCGAAAGCAAGCGAAGAATTCGCCAGCAGCATTACTTTCATAACCAACAAATCTGGGTGGCATGCAAGCAGCATGTTCATATCCACGCCACACACTGGTCTCTCCATCAGCCACTATTTTATTAACTTTCTGAGGCAAGGAGTTAGGCGACTCCGGACCTGCTAGATGGCAATGGGGCAGATTTTGGATGATCATCCTTGGCTCTCACCCACCCCTTCGACTTTTCCACAATCTTCCAGTGCATCAATAGCCATGCTCACTGTTATTCGGGTCCCTCACCGCGGGAGAATATGTTGTTGGCCTTCTCTATGCCCATGTCTTATAATTGGCCGGAGCATAATCAGAGATGAGATGATTACATACTGCCTCCGGTACTTGGCACTAGGTTATGGGACTACAGCCTGCCCTGAATTAGCTTACTTGCAAGATATTCCTGGATCTTCATTGACGTAGCTTTCTCCAAATATTGTAGATGTGGGGAAGTTGGGGCAGGAAGGCGAGTTAATTAATCTCAATGCATGCAGGGATCTTGGGGCTCAAGTTTGGTTCACGACTTTAACCGGACTTTATCACTTCCATAGTGAGCAAGACTTAACAACTTTTAACAAACGTTGCCCTCGTACCCTGGATACCCGTGGCATATATTGCGCTTCTTTTCTGTGACAATTGTAACGATAACCTTTTAAGTGATAAACAGTTCATGATACCGAATAGGTCAACAACAGCAGTAGTCAAGAAGAAGGAACAAAACGTTGTGGTAGGGGAAATCACCACTTTTGCCTAACTTTCATGTTCTTGATTGCTCTTGAGTCCTTTCGGTCCTTTATGAGATACAGATATCAATATTCCTGGATCAATGCAACCCTTATCCCGCCCGTTATTGCCGTGTACGTCACGCTCCTATACTGGTTACGCCTTTAGATTAGACACAGCATGTTTCAATTAAGAAGATGTAACCTCATAGACCTTTGTCTAACATCTAAACGTGTGCTGTTTGTTTCCTTCGGCTCAGCTAGGCACTCACCGTCGATATGACTTGTGAGGTTGAAGGATTTGACTAGATAGCACGATATTTTAGAGTCATGGCAACAACAAAATTGTGCTTTTCTTTTGAGTTGAGTACTTTACACGGATAGATGTACTATGATTCCATTGCATCACTTAGTCGTGACTTGAAGCAACCCAACATAGTATCTTTTCATGACTGACCCCATACGGCTCGCGTGTCGATGATCCACCATCATCCCAACTACTGGCTTTGTCCTTCTATAACCTCCTAAGAGTAAAGATCGTCATTACACGAAGGCAAGACACGGGGTTGTCGGCTGTCAGGCCCAATAAGCCGTGAGAATCATCTGAAAACAATATACCCCTTTACTTTGCAAATGGGATGTGGATCGCGGTAATCGATGACCGAAACTTCCATTCTCGGGTGTCCTTTTGCCTTTATACTAAGACGATACTGAGAGGTTTATCACAGCCGTTCAGTCTAAGCAACGTGGAGGTATAAAGTTGGGCTCAAAGGCCTCTTCCACTCTCGACTTTAGACACGCTCCATCACATTCATTTTCATAGTTCCTTCTCTGAACAGGCATTCTTGCTCTTCTCCCTTGGCACCATGATGAACTCTAAGACCGCAGCTATCGTGGCTGCCTGGACCGCCGCCAGGTCGGTCTCAGGCCAGGCCGTCGGCACGGAGACAGCCGAGACGCACCCCAAGATGACCTGGCAGAAGTGCACGGCCCCTGGCAGCTGTGAGACTGTCAACGGCGAGGTCACCATTGACGCCAACTGGCGCTGGCTGCACAAAGTCGGTGACTATACCAACTGCTACACGGGCAACGAGTGGGACAGCTCCATTTGCCCTGACTCAGCCACCTGCTCGAAGAACTGTGCCGTTGATGGAGCCGAGTACAAGAGCACTTACGGCGCCTCGACCAGCGGCAATGCGTTGACGCTTCAGTTCGTCACCAAGGGAGAGTACTGTAAGTCATCAGTATCGTGTGAGGAAAAGGGGTAGCGAATATGTGTATCTAACCCAGGCATTCATAGCAACCAATATCGGATCTCGTCTGTATCTCATGAATGGCGAGGACAAGTACCAGATGTTCAAGCTGCTCGGCAATGAATTCACTTTCGACGTCGATGTTTCGAAGCTTGGGTGCGGTCTCAATGGTGCCCTGTACTTCGTCTCCATGGATGAGGACGGTGGCATGTCCAAGTATGAAGGAAACAAGGCTGGTGCCAAGTACGGCACTGGTTACTGTGATGCTCAGTGCCCTCGTGACTTGAAGTTCATTGACGGCAAGGTCAGTAATCCCCATTGTGCACATTGATATGTCTTGCTCTAACAATCGATCAAGGCCAACTCCGACCAATGGGACCCCTCCTCAAACGACGAGAACGCCGGTGTTGGTCAGATGGGTTCTTGCTGCTCTGAGATGGATATTTGGGGTGAGTATTAATCCTTCGGCGTGTCTTGCGCTTTGAAAAGGTTGTGTACTAAAACGGCTCGACAGAGGCAAACGGCATCGCAACGGCTTTCACCCCCCATCCTTGTACCACCGTGGGCCAGCACTCTTGCTCTGGCGATGACTGCGGCGGCACTTACTCTGAGACTCGATATGCCGGTACCTGCGACCCCGATGGATGCGACTTCAACTCGTACCGCCAGGGAGTCAAGGACTTCTACGGCCCCGGCATGACCGTGGACACGACCAAGAAGTTCACTGTCGTAACTCAATTCATCACTGGCGACGGCGGAGGCCTCTCCTCTATCAAGCGCTTCTACGTCCAGGACGGCAAAGTTATTCCCAACTCGGAGAGCACCATCGAGGGAACCAGCGGTAACGAAATCAACGAAGAATTCTGCTCTACCCAGAAGACCGCCTTCGGCGACACTGACAACTTTGCCGACAGGGGTGGTCTCGCTCAGATGGCTAAGGCTCTGGAAGGTGACATGGTGCTTGTCATGTCTCTCTGGGACGACGTATGTCAAGTTTTCCTTTCTTTACTCCCCCTCAAACCCCTTTCGTGCCATGTACTAGTTAGATAAGATTAACGTAAGGCTGACGACATATAACAACAGCACTACTCCAACATGCTCTGGCTCGACTCCAGCTATCCTCCTGAGAAGGCCGGTCAACCCGGTGGCGATCGCGGTACCTGCGGTCAGGACTCGGGTGTGCCCGCCGACGTCGAGTCGAAGCAGGCCTCAGACAGCGTCACCTACAGCAACATCCGCTTCGGCCCTATCAACTCGACCTTCGAGGCAGCTTAGACGCTCTCAATTCAGGGTCTCTCCCTCCCACTCTCCCGATATACTTATCCGACTGTTCGATCTACTCTCTTTAAACCTAGCCTAGACATCGCCAAGGAAGAAATAACAGTAAAAGAGCCAGGACAAGGGAGGTGAGCATATCACCAAAACAGGAAAATAGAGAGATGCCGGGTGGGTTCTGTTTGAAGGAAATGGGTAGACCAGGTAGACAGATTTCGGCCTTAGTTAGAAAATAAATGCCACACACTCATCTACTTTACTCCCTTAGGACTTCAATGCCCCTATTCACATCAGTTCTACTACATGAGACTAACCAACCACGGATATAAGAGTAACTAGGGCTGGGCTGGCCTCAAGAAACGGCGATGTGGAGAAGCCACACTAATAATGTGATGCAAAACATCACCGTTAGAACTGCCGGTTTTTTTCTAGCTTACTTTGTCTATATAATAAAAGGCCAGTGTTGATTATATCAGGGTCTGGTGTATAATATTGTCTACTAATTTGTTTTTATCTCGTTCTTTTGACTCCTCGTTTTCCTGGCAAGATATTTCCGGGGCTTGTATGACAATAAGATGGTGTCGTCATAGGACGAAGCGAACACTTGTTTTGGAATTCCAGAATTGTACAGTGCCTGTAATAGCTAGCTAGAATTATGGCGTTGTGCTATGTCATTCCATTACTTTTCACCTGCAATATCCGCACTTACCCTCGTCATTCGACAATGCTAGCGTTCAAACCTTTATCTCACGCTTGGTTGGATTTGCTAACCCGTTTCTTGCTAAAACCTAGGAACGGGACTAGAGTGAGAAGAAGAAGAAAAAGTGAATGCCCATGAGTACACCTCCCGGTTTCAAGTAAGGGGTTTCGATGAGAGTTAAACATGAGCATTTGGTCTTAATCTCCGGTGCAATATTGCATGTCGTAAATGTATTCTGCTCGCCAAGACGGTAGATAAACCAAAGTACAATGCGGCAGCCAACGGTTAAGAATGCAAATCCTAGTCGAATCAATGTTTCCAGACCCGCTATGTAGGCCTTGACGATGGGCGGTGAGCACCTACACTACTGTTGAGGGAGGAGAGCCAGGGGCCCGCTCCCTCGTGGGCTGCTACCTACGTCTAGTACGACGTATTTCCAGCCGAGCTACGCGCTGGACTAGACCGGATAGGTAGCTGTGTTGATCTCATCGTAAAACTGAAAATCTACATGGTAGTATATTGGGAGCAAAACTCCAGATGCGACAGATCCCGCATCTACCGAGATAACGGAAGAAGAGATTTTCCGCTTCCCAAAGTTCTTCCTTACCTGTTCCGGGCTGTCCTGATTGGGCAATGGAGGAATTCGACCCATATATTCTAACACTTCCGAGAGACACGATATCCAAACCTGAGAGAAGGGTGAGAAGAAGGGAGAAAGGAGAAAAGAAAAGAAAAAAGAGACAACTCCGTTTTGCCCCTCCTGCGCCCATCTTGTACACTATGGACATGGGGGCTAATAAATGTCCAGCTCTTGGAAATGGGAATTTTAAAATACGGTCAATCAAAACGGTTGGCCGCCATGCAGTCTAGACCCCTGCCGGATCCAAGACCAGACCCAGACAGAGGCACGCATTTGCGATGAGACCATGTGCAGCAGCCACCTCGCTGGCTGGCGGCAGGCGTGGAGGCATGGCTGCGGCCCTACACAGAAGCCTACACATACATACGTGACGTGACTGAAGTGGCACCTGGGGTGGGTGGCCAAGCCCATTTTCTCGATTGTGGAATCCGATCTAATCGCGATGCGGCTATGGATTTCTCGATCTGAGCGGAAGCGGGTTTCTTTGCACGCATCGCCACCGGCCACAGGTCAGCACAGGTTCCTGGACAATGAACTGCCAGGCGAGCCAGGGGACAGAGTCAGACCCGGTCTTTTTGCTCCTGACCACTCCTCTGCTCTCCTCGACTCTTGCCGACCAAGGTGTTCCACCAAGTGTTCCGCCATGTGTTCCTGTTCCGGCGGTTAATACCCCGTGCCATTCTGACCACAAAGTACAACAGCACGGCGGCGTAAAGGATGAAACATGTACTGCATGCACTATGTGTGTACAGTATGATACAGCATCGTGCAGCAGCAACAGGCGCCGTCGACAGTACCACCACTAGGTTGTCGCGTCGTCGGACAGCTAGCTGTACAGAACCAGCTTCGTGACCAGTCGAGAAGATGGAATTCCTCCGCCCTGGCTTCGTTCGCGGCTTGTGTTAGTCTCTTACCTACTGTACTCACAATCATACCTACATACAGCTCGACACGTCCCAGCTCGCCAGTCCCTACGCCTACGACGGTGGCAGCAAGCCGGCAAGCAATACCGGCCCAGTTTACTTACACCACTCTGACCACTTCTTTTTGTAGTGCAATACTAGCTCCGCTTCCCGCTTCCCGCTGCCACTTACACACTCGGTCTTCCGCCCAGGGCCTTGTCAGTCATGTGGGGCCCGAGCTGCTTAGGTTCTCCCTGCGTTCTTGTGGGTGTCGAGGGTGTGCTACCAAGCAAGCGGGTGGGCTTCTTGGGCTGCTCCTCGCCTTACCCTAGTTAGTAGTCCCTTAGGCTCTGTGCAGTCTCGATCGTGGCGAACATGTTGAATCGTAGCGATCATCTGCCAGGAGGGACGTTCGAGCCGCAACACTCTTCGGCAATTCGTTGTAAGCCGGCTCCTTGCGTCACCGAGCTAATGATATGCCTGTTATAAGAAAAAAGGAATTAAAAATGCCTGGCGTTCGATTGTTTAGTACTGCAGACTCCTCTAGACACACGGTAGACGGCTCGTATCATGCGGTCACGATCACGATCTCTCTATCATGCTTATGCCTGTGTCTAACCAGTGCTCTGCCGTCTACGCCCATATTAATCAGGCCAGAAGAGCCCTGGGTCGGTCCTGTTGCCAAATGAGGTAGCAAGGCACGCAGAGTAACGTTCCTCTATCTTTAAACTCTGGCAATTCCTGTCGTGCTTTGTGCCAGTAAACACATCGCGAAATCCACCATCTAATAAACAACTCGTACCACAGCTGGGCCTGTTGATACACCACGTCCCACTTACAACCAACCAGTTGTCATTTCTCGTGAGGCTTCACATCCAACCAAATTACTTGGGCAAGCCACTCGTTCCGTCTACCTGCAGCTAGCTTACTCCTCTTTCGCTCCTGTCGAAGCTCATCAACGTTGTGTCTACATATAATACCTTGAGGTTCCCTGCGAATTATCGCCATGTCGTCACAACAACTTAAAACCATTAGCCCTTGTCATTTCTCCATGACAACGAGATATCATATACCAAAATCAGTATTCATGAATCCCTGGGAGTATAATGCGTTGGAGGTGAGTTGATTCTCCTTCTAAGACTGAGTCGCCTACGAGTTCACTTAGAGGCAGCCATGACATTGAATATTAGCAATGCCAAGTTATGGTAGTTCATATCTAATTATGCTTCCTAGTACAACTATTCCGAGAATGAAGCTGGTCCTGCGGCTCCTCGAGATGATACTGTGACTGACTCCATCATCTATCCGGGTATTTATGCCCCCAGTGGGTTCGACATATTGGGTGTTCTCGTTAGTGCTACGATTCTACTTTTTCACCCACCAAACTCACTTGAGATCGAGCATTCGCTAACCAGCTATGAAGAGCCGGGTAGCAATGAGAACCTCACCAGTGGTACATCTTCCGGCAGTAGATGCGTCGTGCGCCATAGTAGTGTGTGATATCCAGCAACCCGATTACCCGGTCGTGTACGCGAACGAGGCATGCACCCAGCTGACGGGGTATCCATTGGAGGAGATGCTCGGCAAGAACTGCCGATTCATGCAAGCGCCGGGAGGCAAGGTTCGCAAGTCGTCAACGCGGAGCCACGTCGAGAAGAGCGTGCTCAAGAAGATGCGCCGTACCATCGAATCCAACGGCGAGCTGGTCATCGAGGTAACAAACTTCAAAAAGAATGGCCAGAAATTCACCAATATAATCACCATCATACCTATCCCGTGGGATACCGCGTCACCCCGGTATTACGTTGGTTTTCTTGCGGAGAAGGCGCGGTGATGAGAAATTATTGCCACACATATTACGCCGCAAGCCATGGAACTGAAAAGGATGGAATGGAGGATCGTCCACGACCCTGGCTCGAAGTGATCATCACCCCTCCTCCGCATCGCCATATCACTCACTACACGCGATACCACTTCATCTGGAGCGGCAAGTCCAAGGCGTCTTTGTCAATCTGATTTTTCACTGTTTTGCGATTGGTCTGAATCTACTCGAAGGGAGAGATATAGGGCCTTCTATCTGCTTTCAGGCATCGTATTGATACCCTATATAGTTTGAATCATTTTTGTTATTACTTATGTGCTCATGCTTGGAGGGAGTGATGGGGGCGGGGGAGCGGGCGTGTTTGGAGGGCAGATATTGGCGTTTTTTTATTTTACAGAGGGAAAGAAAAAGCAAAAAAGGGATCTCGTTTGCCGACACGATACTTGGCTCGGATATTCAAGCCATTGGCTCGGGGCCGGCTAGCGGGATCACTGGGACTTTTTTTTCTTGACAAAAATTCAGAAACGTGTCTTTTGCCACATTGAACTGCATCTATTGTTGTAACATGCTGTAAAAATGTCTGATCTCGTGTTGGTCTCAGACCTCCTCACGAGCGAGGAGCCATTAGTATTGGTTCCAATGGATGTGGTCCACCTGTTCAGCTGATTCTACAGAATAGCCACAACAGAAACCTCACCATCCCTTGCTCTCAATATCAAATTTGACTACGCCATATGGGCACCTAGGCAGATGAAATCTAACCACCGACTTAGGCTGTACACGGTACGAAGCATTAGCGTAGAATAGACCACACGTGGGAAGCCATCCACCTATCTATTTCTGAATAAGAGACGCTCGGCTTACATATAAACCTACAGTAGTGCAAGTACCTAGCTAGATCGTGAACCCCTGTTCTTAAGGCCTCTCAATCCCACCACCAGCAACGTTTGTTACCAGGAACCATCCCTTCCTGGATTTGATTGTGTATAGTAATGTAAATTTAAGTGTTGGTTTATCTATACACATTCATCCATGGATAGATTCTTGTGTTGAATCGTTGCTGTATCTAGTTATCCCCGAATCTTATACTAGCCAAGCCCAGCCTATCCCACGCAGCCCTTAGCTGTTCAGCCAATTTCTGTGCGTACTACTTATCTGTTCGGTGTTATGCGTCTCGTGGAAGGATGCTTACGACAGGACAAGGTGAAAGCGGAACACAAGATTATTGTATAGAACACAGCATATAGGCAGATGACGAAGATCCTTTTTCTTGATATGCATGTAAGTCGTATCACGCAGCGGGTAGAAGCCCGTTATCTCCCACCACAAACAACATAACACGCAGACCGACTACCCAGGTAAGTAGGTATCATCAGACGTGACCTTCAGGTAGTAATCACCTGGGTGGGGGCTATTATGGAAGCAGTGTAGCAGTAGCAGCACTTGGTTTGGCAGTCGTCGTCAAATATAGACATATCTACCCAGCAGACTAAATCCCTATTACCCGGATCTCGAGGGCAAAGATCACCAAAAGCAAAATCAGAAAGCCATACATACAGACAATAAGGTTTAACAGTTAACCTCATCTCCTGGTCGTGGTAATTAAATAGTATTCCCAAAACTGTACTAGGTACCCAGCTCGAATTTGCCCACCATTATACCATGTACATGTACTTACATACCTAGGCTATCCAGATCTACATAGTAGGGTAGGGCGTAGGGTGGATGCTGGTGGCTTGCCTTGGCTGCCTGGTTGGCTGCCTAGGCAAATCCCGAAATGGCTGCCTGTGGCCTGGGGCCTGCCTTGTTGTTTGTCGATCCTATGCGGTGCAATACTGTTAGTATCGTGGCCGTGGTGTAAGTCTGGCATGTGCAGGAGAATATCGACAGTACGTTGAAGAATATCTACCACTATCTAATCTAGGCAAACACTTCGCCCCATCTTCTCTCGATTGCAGGTTCCTGCACGACCACTCGGGGATCGCGCAGTTCTAATTGGGTGCGTGGGGGAGGGGGAGACGGATTGGATTGGGTTCCTTTACCTGGCCCGTTTCTCTCCCCTTGGCCAAATGCTGTGCTGTGGCAACATACATGTAAGGATAGAATAGACTCGCCAATGTTTGTATGTAGATCTGCCTCGGACGCAGAGGGGTCCGGGGGATGGGAAAGTTGCAGGCGGGCTGGTAGATAGTCGAGTCACACCGATGTCACATGAACGAACACACACATTGTTTTGCCTACTTCGCCTCGCCGTCGAGAGAATCGTTCGTGCATAGTCAATGTGAAGTACAGATCGTGTAGCATAGCTCTGGTCGAGAGATGGGCGGAGTCGACCGGGTACCCACATATGTAGGTGAAGTAAGGATAGAATGAGGGTCTTGCATTGAACTACACTAATTTGCTAGCTCGGATCATAGAGGGTCGATCATGGGGAAGAGAACGGCTTGGCTTTGGTGCATGTAGATCGAGAAAAGGGTATCCAACATCGAAATCACTGCCGAGCATTTTTGCTTACCATTTTCGATAATGCGTTGGCCGGAATTCCATTTGTACGGTCTCGTTGATATCTGTCTGTATACGAGCTAACATACCGACTATGGACTATGCCGCCCGAAACAACGAGCTAAGGTAAGACACAGTTTAGGAATAGACAGCATGACACTGGCATATTTGGTATAGGCCATATAGAGCATCCGAGGCTGTTGATCCCTGACGATCTCTGATACTCAGAGTGCTTTTTGTTTCTAAAAAGAATGTGAGGGTCAGGTGCCACGGTGAAGGTCTTACTTCGCAATGTAAGAAGCCGAATACTAAAACACCTACCGTATGTGTCTGCCTATTAGAATATTATGTTCACACTAGTATCTAAGTTCACGAAACAGACAATTCAGAATTACAGTAATCTACGGTGGTTCCGAACATTAGTCTCGAGAGAAGAGAGGCAGACTAGCTTCGTCTTAGTTATGTCTCGCTCAATACCATAATCACAACTAGATCAGTTGAACATTGGTGCTTAAGGCCGACTATCATACCAGACCACGAACTAGAGCCCAGTGCCATTAAACGGTAGATATATATTCTATATAGGCCCGTAATATTCAACTATTATTAGCCGTTTCCGTCGTAGATAATTCCATAATTTGCTATACGGACAATCAAGATCAACGCTTATACTGTCTACGCACCGATTGGGCCGGCGTTCTCTCCGTTATGAATGGCAAACGCTTTTGCTCCAATGAGCTCTATGTACGTTCCACGATGTTATTTATGGAGCAATTCCGTAGGACGCACTATTGCTACCCTACCGTCTCGAAACTCACAATAGTATATTCCTGAGATCTTCCGGGCTGACTTCTTACTATCATGCGAAGGAAGAAGTATATTCATGTAGCAAAAGTGATGTGTTAGCGTAAATCAATGCCTTGGCTCGTGCGATAAGGCGTAGGTGAATCATGCATATATCTGTTGAAACAGGAAAAATAAGTTTATAGTGCTGATAAGTATATGAGACTATAATTCGAAACAGAGTGCTTGGTGCAGCTGTAAGCAGGGCTGGATTTAGTATTTGAGCTTGATTTCAAGTTTATTCACAATACATCAATGTAATGATGTGGCTGTTGATGTTCATATGGCCTAACCGGATCCTTTGTGTGTATATAGCTCAACTTTGGTCTACTCACATACACTCGCACCGGTGTTCCTAATTCCCCAGGTCCGCTAATGTGTCTCACATTCGCGAAGTCTGAATAGCCTCACTTTCAATAAATCCGAGACATCCCGAGACCGTCTCTGTGTCACAGCCCTATCTTCATAGCCATCGTATTGGTTCAATTTGGTTCGTTCTTTACATGGGAAATTCCTCATATATAATCGTGATATTTTGGTTGCCTATCGAGGCCATCATGGCAAACCTAACTGCACTTAACACTATAAATTAGTAACCGGATTCAACAAAGTAGTCGATCCACACAAATTTTAGGCTTTGACAAAATGATACGCTCATGTTACATCACTCTGCAGAACGTTATTTAGGGCATCTGGTTATTCTCCTGGTTTTCCAAGGAAATTCAACCCAGGTAGGCCTCGTAAATCTCAACTACCGCGAAACAATACTACTGTATATCCACCCTACGAAGAGTTGAGTCTTATAATTATGGAGAGTTTAAGCGGTTATAATGCCGCATACCCATTCTTGGCTCCATGGATTTATCTTTTTATTTTATGCACACGTCATCGAACGAGTGGTCAATAAGTGTTACATCCTGGCATTCTATTCTCTCTGCTCACTAAGGGATGTTTTGATTCAGTACAGTTAAGAGCATGCTTCTGCTGAGTGTAACTACTGCTCAGACGTTCAAGATCCTTGAGGATCGTACCCTTCTACTAAAACATCTGTTGCACACTATGGACCCAGTGACCGAGCCCGTCTATTGTACATGTCCTATGCATCTACAACTTATCATTATTCATCATATCCTAATTTGTCTCAAAGCTTTCACAACGATGAAGCCCAGACGATGGAAATGCCGGGATATCGTTAAGCGGAGTATCAGGACGACCTATAGGCTCGTGGCTGGTCACTTCTAATAACCATTGTGCACACCAACTGCGGTGGCCAAGACGAGAGCCGAGTTGAGAACGGAGCGTAAGATGGCCACAGCGATGGTGATAGTCATTATCACATAACAAACCCATCTGATCATGAAGACGGGGCCATCGAGGCATAATCCCAACACCTTATAGGGGTCGGGCAGTCAATGCAGATCGACAAGACGACGGTTCTTTGCTTGCAATTGACGAAACTTCTTGTCAAGCGCCTCATGCTGTTTCTTGGCCTGAGCCCAGACCGTCTCGGCGTCTTCGACTGACATCAGGGGAGTGCTGCCAATGGCTGGCGAGGGGCCATTCTCAGGGTGCTCGTAGCTGCCGTACACAGCATCTGAATGCCCGCCTGCTGCTGTGCCGTACTCATCTGTGTTTCGACCCGTAAACATCTTTCTTTGATCCTCTGCATTGTCTGTGGGAGGATAAATCCAAGGCGCCAATTGTTGTAGATTAACATTCTTAGTAAAATTAGAAGTGGCACCCATAGTCTTATAACTTCCCAGATTGAGAGACGGGAGAACATGCTGGTTAATGCAGCTGATAGCCTCCTCTCGGTGCATCTTGCCGACTGGGTCGCTGGGGTAGTTATCAGGACCCAGTGGGAAGAAGGATGGCGGCCCATTGGGCACCGCACGATTCTTAACTAAGCTGAATCCACTGGCTGGCGTATGACGAGTGGCGGAGAAGGCCGTAGGGCGAATGCTATCAGACCTCAAATGGTCTTGGAGTTCAAGGTACAAGTCCTCCTCTTCTGGCGTCAAGTTCAACACACAATCTCCGTTGGGAGTGAGCAGCACCGAGTGGTCGTTTACGATCTTGCGCACTGGCTGAAAGGCATTGAGTTTCTCCTCGTCTTCCTTGGTAACTATAGCTTTCAAAGTAGGCGGAAGAGAGACTGATCCAGTAGCGTTGGGATCCAGACGATGTGTAGGCAAAGGCTTAAAGAAACTGATCTTCTCAACATTGCGTAAGGATCCTTCGTTCATTAGAGCACTGAAAACGTCCCGAAGCTGAGGAATCTCCCCAATGTCTTGCTCTACTGGCTGTTCCTGCTTTACTTCAGGTGTATGGCTGATATAGTCGGGTGTCAATACCGTTGTTTTAGTGGATTCATTCAGTTTGATTGATGTATCGATAGCCGTGGCCGTGGGACTTGGTGAGTTCGTCGAGGGCTTGCCCTTCTCCTTGCTGACTTTTGCTTGCTCTGTTAATGACAGACCTGCTTTGGAGTCTTTTCGGGCAGTCCCGCCGCTTTGACTGGTGGATGAGTCCTTTTCTGGAACAACCTTCTCTTCATAGGCCTCGGTCGTGCTCGGTGTTGCTGGGCGGGTAGACGTCCTACTTGTACCAGTAGGCTTCTTCTCTTTCTTCTGTTTCTTTTTCCGCCCAAGGATTGGTGCAACCTCAACCTCGGGTTCGAATGGTTTGGTGTCGGCAATTTGGGCAGCTGCTTCTTTCGAGGCCTCTTTGCGTTGTTTGCGCTGTTGGCTCTTCGTAGTCGGACGTGCAGGAAGGGAGCCAATTTTCGATGGAGGCGGAGAGCTGGTTCGCGATGCGGAAATGGAAGCACTCACAATAGATGCAGTATCAGACACTATCTCACTTGCCGGTGTCTGTGGTCGATGAGCCGAGCTCGATGTAGCAGCTGAACGTATCGAGGCCACAGCAGCTGGTGCTACGTGGGTCGCTGGCAGTTCTGTCTTCGGAGTTTGCACTAGCCGAAGTGTCTTTGGCGCCACTTTAGCGAGAGGTGAAGACACTGAAGCCGTTGTGGGTGTAGGAGTCGGGATTGCAGAAGTCACCTGATTTTTGCCTGACTGGGAACCAGACGGGGTGTGGGTGGAAGCCTGATCCGGAATGTCTGTCTTTTTGCCTGTAGCTGATTGGGAAATTGTGTTTGTAGCGGCAGCAATGTCGAGAATACCGGGGACTGGTCGCTTCTCTGATCTCTTCGACTTGGTTTCCATCGATGTCTTATTTGCTGGATCTGCAGTAACCTTCTTACTAGTTGAAGTTTTTGAGGCTTGACTAGGCTTTGACGGAGTGCCAGGTGCTTTAGAGGGAGAGGCAGTCTTCACAGAGTCAAGAGCTGGAAAATCTTCCTCTTGGAGTAGGCTTGCCTTTGTTTTAGAGGCTTGCGCGGCAATGTCTTGCGAGAGACCACTCGTGTTGGCTAGCTCCTTTATATTCTTCCTGGCATCATTATTGCCAGTAGGAGTCTCTTCCTTACCTCGCACTGACGCTTGTTTTGTAGGCTTGGGGGCAAGTGGTGTGACTGGTCGAGGTATTGTACTGGAGATTGAGCGGACTACGTTACTTCTTGACTGTGGCCTGTCTTGGGACAGAGGGCTCTGTGTCCTTTCACTATAGACCAAGGAGAGCGGGTGTGTATGAGTAAAACCTAGCCCAGGGGGTAAAGCAGGCGATTTTGTACCGTCAAACGAAATGGGATCTTGAAGATCGGACGGATATGGATCTGAGACTAATGCGTCAACAGCGGAAGATGCTGCGTCGAGAGGAAGAAGATCGTCGTCTAGTATAAGAAAAAGTTAGCATCTAGGGATTTCAGCTTAAAAACATGGCTACAGATTCAAAGAAATAGGCACATTATCACGTCGTAGGCTGCCATGGTCGTCTTCCACATTATACAGGATATTGGTAAAACTGAAAGGTTGAGAATGTTATATTAGCCAGCTTCTTAGGTATAAGCTCTTGGCTAGCTCTGCGTGTAAACGTACATGAAAGTTGTGGAAGACGACGATGGCTTGCCTGGCGTGACCAATCATGTGAAGAAAGAAAAAAAGAGTCAAGGTTAACACCAAGAACGAAGTGTATCTCGAGAATGGCAGCAGCCGTGGTGGAGTAGCCCCGTCGTTTCCAAGAGCAAGTGGACGCCATGCAACCCAGATCCATCCTGGATCATTATCCCTTTGTAATGCTCGCTTAAACAGATGTGCAATGGAATGTTCCGATCAGATTCCATTCCGATTTCCTTGACGCCTAATTGACCCCTTGCCGGAACCCAAAACCATTAAAAACCAAACAAACCGCCCATTGCTTCGCAAGCTCTATTGAACGACTACCACCTGTTGTATCCGCCACCTCCATACATAGTATTGGGGTTGCTGTACCCACCTTGTGCTTGACCACCGAACAGTCCCTGCCCGGCTCCCATGCTGTTGCCCTGTTGCTGATGGTGCATCCGCGCCTGCAGGATACTCGGGTCCGCAAGATCTACTAAGCCACTCCCCCCAGAGGAGGAAGTGTTAGCGTGTCTGTGCTTCTTCCCCTTCTTCTTCTGCTTGGGTCCGTAGTCCGGGAAAGCTCCAGGCTGGGAGGCGTAGAGCGTTGCCAGGAGGCCGGGAGCCGGAGCAGGAGTTGGGGAGGTAGAGGATGGGAATTGGCTATGGAAAGAGGAAATTTGGGGGATCATGTACTCACGCTTTCCATCATGGGCCTGATTGCCCACATTGCTCCGAATCAGAGATTGAAGCAAGTCATTTGGATTGCTCTTTGCGGCCCCACCGAACGCAGATGCGCCAAAAGTATGGCCTTGTCCGAACATGCCACCACCTACAGGAGGCGTACCCGTCGATTTCAGGCCAGGTGGGGGCCCAGACACAGAGGTGGTATATAATTGACCAACTGGCTGCGAACGAAATGCAGAAGGCATCATGGATGACTGTTGAGCCATATATCTAGGATCACCCGTTGACTTTACGTTGATAGAGCTAGCACTGTTTTCGTTGGCAAAGCTGAACCGCGATTGTTGGCGCGTATGGCCTTGTCCCTGAAATACAGTGGCCTGTTGGGATGGTTGCTGAGGAGAAATTCCAGGAGGCATCTGGTCGGTAAAGGTGTTCTGGGGTCGTATGAATAATGGCTGTTGTTGTGGTGTCATGGTTCGGCTTCCGATTGAACCTACTGTCGCAGAAGCTGGGCCAAAGCCAGTGAGAGATGGGCCAAATAGATCACTGGCGGTTCCTCTCTGGATTGACGCATTTCGCCTCTGCTCATAGCCTAGCACACTGCGTGCCGGGTCTCTATCTTCTGGCTCGCCTCCTAACGCGAGACTGCCGCTCTCGAGCTCTCCATCAGATTGGGTCAGATTATCCACCTGATCGTCCTGATCGCCTAGACGATTCTCATCGTCATCACGCATAGCTCGTCTCCTTGCTGCCCCATTCAAATCAAACATAGGAGGTATTTCATCTCCAGAATAAGATTTGGGGAGAAAAGCAGCACGGGTCTCTTCCAGTACCCTACGAAAATAATCCCAATCATACGGATCCTCTATTGAAGATTGTGGCTTCGAGGGCGCTGGGTCAGCAGCGACGTTCGTATCAGCAACCTGCCTATCGGCTTTCCGGCCAGATTCCTGAGACATTGCTGTGTCATTAGACTCGTGGATAGAACTAGCAGTGGCAGGTAATGAGGTGGAGATTGCAGGGCTTGAGGCAGCACCACTGGTTGCATGACTGCCACGTCTGCTACGTTGTTGCGTCGTCCGTGCCCAGTTCGCTGAGGCTGGTAAGGCAGGCCCATCACCAGCTTCAGAGTCCTCTTTACTAGATGAGCGAATCATCGGCTGGGATGTAGCTGGCTGGTGAATAGCTGAAGGGTGTGGGCGAGACACGGAGCGTGACGATGATGCAGCATTAGATAGGGGACGTTGTGTATGTACACTATTAAGTGATGACAAGTCTTGACGTGAGTAGCTGTCTTCTTCATCACCTAGTTCGTGTAGGAACATGCACTGTCGATTGCCGCACTGTTCATGGCGAAGCCAAGCTGAACAATATTTAGTAGTACCCAGCTGGGCTTTTAGCACACGGTCGCCATTTTGAGAGCCATGAACTGCTGCTATACACCTCGCTGCGTCCTCTTTCTTCTCGAATGTAACGTATATGCCGAGGGACTGTTGTTGGCCATCGGAAGATTTCCTGTTACTTATAGAGATTTTTTGGATATTGCCATATTGCCCAAAAAACTCTGGTTTCCGAAGAGTTTTGAGTAGTTCATCCTCTCGAACCGTTGGTGTCAGACCTGTAACATATACGAGATTCTTCTGAACAACCCGGACTCCCTGAAGATTCTTGCGGTTTTCCCTTTCAGCTTCGCGCTTCTGAACCTCTTTTTGTCGCTGCTCGCTAGCACGTTTCTTTTGGTTCTTTTGTATGTTGGCCCGGAACTCCGCTTCCCTACGAAACATTAGATAATGTCTTTTAGTTATTTTGATCTGGGGGTGGGGGGTTGGTACTCTTCGCGTGTTACCACCTTCCATTTCACGTCTTTGTCGTCGTAAGGTCTGCGACATGCAGGACATAGACCGTTCAGGTTATTTTTGAGATTGTTGAAACAGAACTGGCAGATCTGCGGGGGTTCTGTATTAGTACTATTGTTGAGCTCGAGCAACGCTTACGCCCATACCTGATAGCCACAAGGACAAGGCCGAAAATTTCGGTCAGAAAGATCGAACTCCTCGATACAAAGAGGGCTATGCCAAATAGTCAGTATGTTAAACGCCCCAGAATATCACATTACAAGCCGAGGGAGGCCAAGCATGACATGACTGACCATGTATCGTCTTCGTCATCAATGAAAGTATCTTGCGGGGCCATTGTGAATTGTGTAGCTTGGGATTTAGGATAGTCAGGTATCGCGAATGCAGAACCAGCTGGCTTTGGCAAAAGAATGTCGCGTCAGCAAATTCAGCAGCGTAGAATCTACCGCGTCGTCTATTGTGAGAAGGAATGAGGCAGGTATCAAAGGGCGTTGTGTTTGGCCGAGCCGTCAAGACGTATGTCGAATCCTCGTTGGGTGGTTATGCATCAGAAAAAAAGCTTTGAGGCGGGACGGAAACCACGCGAAATACCGCCAATAGAACGCCGGCCACGAAATGCACAAGGGCAAAATGCAACAGGACGATGTTCTAGATAACTCGTGACGCCAAAGGACAGTTGACGATGATTAGACTAGCTGTGCTGTAAGAGCGGATGGAGAGGTTTGATGGGCAGAGGCAAAAAGAAGCAAAGGAGTTGCTGCTAGAGGCTATTTAGTAGGTAGGCCGTAGGTAGGTAAGGTAGTGAGTGTAGCGTCTGACTAGGTATGGCATTGGATGGAAGGGTGCACCGTGCTTCGACCAGCTGTGGCCTGTAGCGCTCAAGTCATGGAGGCAGCCGAATTGAGTTAGACTGAGACATCGAGTTTTTCTAGTTTGATTGAGCTGATTGGGCTGATTGGGCCACGGTCACCTGACTTGAATGTATATCTAGGTACCTATTTACCTAGTAGGTACCTCAGCACAAGCCTTGCCCGCGCAGCCCATGCCTTTGTAACTAGGTAGGTGTGTGCATTTACCTGTATATACCTTTAATAATTCGCTTGATTCAACGCGGTTTCTCGGCGCCCTTGGATTTTGAATTCTCAACATTGCAGATACTTTGGCAAAATTTTACAACGCGTCTTTGCCCTTTTAGAGATCTGTTTGGTAACGACGACCGCCACGTGTTTTTCAGCAATCGGTAGGCTAGGTAGCCATATGTAGGTACCGAGGGTACCTGAGCATGTGCTCTGCTGTGCCTAGTCTGTGCTGTATGTACCTATTGCCTGATATGGTGATACAATGTCAAAGACCTTATTTCATTTGCAGCAAACGACCTGCGACATACATACATACTCAGACAATTGCAGACACAGTTCAGCTGGCTTGTATTGGTTTTTCCAATACAGGCTCGACAGGTAGGTATTCAACAACGCTTACAAGTACGTATACACATAATCTTTACATGTACTGTGTAATGTGCAGTCAGGCAATTACAACTAGTAAGTAAGTACTAGTATTTGCCCATACTAGTACTTACTAGTTGAAATCCTATACTAGTACTTACTTACTACTAGTACATGAAAGCCCATACTAGTACCTACTACTAGTAAGTACTAGTAAGTACTAGTAATACTAGATGTTGTGACTTAATGAAAATTTAATGAAAATGCAGTGGCTAAGCATGTGGCTTGTGTATAAGGTGTATGTGGCTATGTATGGGGCTGACAGGGGGTAAATGTAGGGCTAACAGCGTAACAATTAAATGAATGATTAAAGAAAAGAACAATTGCCTAATGAGGCTTAATGCTACCTTATTAATAACGCTAACCCTAATTAAGAACTAATACTTAATATAACTAATATACTAGTAGTATTTACTTATTAAGTATTAGTTCTTAACTAGTATTAATATATACTTATTAGTTGACCTGAAACCTAATACTAGTATTAGTACTTACTAGTCAATACTAGTAGTATACTTACTAGTACTAAAATACTAGTAGTACATTTGACGAACCCTGTGTGCAGTACATACATACCTACCTATATAGGTGCCTTCTAGTGTACCAAGTAGCTTACTTACCGACTCTTAGGAAAAGATACCGGTCTATGTAGAATACACTAGCTAATTTCGGGTTTCTAGGTAATGTTACGTCAGTTGGTGCAGGTACATGCATACATAGTACGATCTCTTCATTGCGTACTGTGCTAGATGTTAAGCACCGGAGAACGCTTTAATATTGTTCCCCGTCCGCTAGAGCCCGCCTAGTCCCTGCTAAGCTGCCCGAGCCGTATCCATGTATCATCGGCAGCAACAGCAGCAAGTGGTAATTGAACCTCCGTCAATGGTCAATTAACTCACCCACGACCACCACCCCATTCCCACCATCAATTGGCCTGCTCACCCGCCATGGCGACCAAGCTTTGCCGCAGCAGGGCTTTGGCTACAGCTCTGCGGCCCGCGAAGAGCTCTGTCCAGCCTCGGAACGAACAACAAGTCGTGCGCTGTATCGCCTCGACCGCTCGCCAAAATGTCGCCATACCCCGGGACATCCAGAACATGAGGCTGGCGCCCCGGGACCACCCCAAGGAGCTCAACGTTCCCATCGTCAATCCCGCCGATAAGTATGCCACCAAGGCCGACGACCTCCATCGCTACGGCGCCTGGCTCATGGGCTGTCTGCCCAAGTACGTCCAGCAGTTCTCCGTTTGGAAGGACGAGCTGGTCATCTATATCCCCCCCGCCGGCGTGATACCCGTCTTCTCTTTCCTCAAATGTGAGTACACCTCTTTCAACTTGTCTTCCTCAGACGAGCCATGAGACAGTACTGACTCAGACCCGCAGACAACACAGCTGCCGAATTCACCCAAGTCAGCAGTATCACCGCAGTCGATTTCCCCACCAAGGACCAGCGATTCGAGGTTGTATACAACCTCTTGAGTGTGAGACACAACGCGCGCATTCGCGTTAAGACATACGCCGATGAGGCCTCCCCCGTCCCTAGTATCACGAGCTTATACGATGGCGCCAACTGGTACGAGCGTGAGGTATACGACATGTTTGGCGTTTTCTTCACGAACCACCCCGACCTTCGTCGCATCATGACCGACTATGGTTTCGAGGGCCACCCCTTACGGAAGGACTTCCCCCTGACCGGCTACACCGAGGTTCGCTACGATGAGGAGAAGAAGCGCATCGTCACTGAGCCTCTGGAGTTGACACAAGCTTTCCGTAACTTCGAGGGTGGCTCTAGTGCCTGGGAACAAGTCGGTCCTGGCCAGGACCGCAAGCCAGAGAGCTTCAAGCTACCCACACCAAAACCTGAGGAGAAGCCCGAGGAGAAGAAATAGACGATGCTTGCAGAGCTTGTATATAAAACATGGTAAAACTAGAATACATTTCATGAAGCCTTTCATTTGATCTAATTATGAATGGTTTATGAGCTACACATTGTTGATTCAAGATCTTTAGATCTCAATTAATCGTAAACAAGAGCTAATTTAATTGCGAGATAGAAGCTTCGATTCAGCATTTATTAACCTTGAGCAAGCGTAAAGCGATCAACGAAACAAACAAACCTCGCCAGGATCTCACAAACTATTTATATAACCGGCAGTGGGTTGATATGCTGGTCTACACTATTATGTAAACCTACCTTGAGGTAGGTATCTACAGCTCGACTAAGGCGAGATATAATCATAAAGCCAGGGGTGCGATTTCTCATCATTTCAATGCTATTACTATACATATAGTTGCCAGAATTGTCTACCAGAGTCCCAGAAGTAACAACGCGCATTTGTAACGCCACATAATGTTACGTGTTCGTTTCCTTTCCCAATGCTTTGTCATCCCATCATATCGAAAACGGTTAAGAAGATCATCAATCAGAATCCCCAGAGTCTGCAGAATCCCAAACGATAGGGGGTGGTTCATGAATATCAGCGTTCAATAAGCTCTCAGGCAACATCTGACTTGGTGTCAGGAACTGAGAAGATCGCAGAGAAGAGTGCGTGCGACGGAATAATGTCGGGCTACTGCCTACGGTTTCGCTAGAGACGGGCACTGGACGGGCGCCCAACTTTCCCGGCGAAATCAACGGACTTGAAGACACCTGGCTTACCGTAGTAGCCTGAGAGGGTCGTATCGAATTGCGGTGCTTCTGGCTAGGAAGCGATGGCGACTCGTGGTTGGATGATGTAGAACGAACTCGGGAAAGCGCCGGCCTAACAAAACCTTGCTCATCTACCACAGCTTCAGAATTCGCACCGCCGTTCTTATGTGGTGACTGGCTTGCGGGGATAACCTCGTTTGTGGACTCTGAATGTTGCTGCGTAGAGTAATCTGCATCGCTTTGTAGCTGTGCTTTTAGTTCCTGAGATTCTGATAAATCTTCATGGTTGGCATCTTCTAACTGAGAGGCTTCTCCAAACAAAGCGCATCTCAGGTTAGCTGTAAGCTCTCCCACGACGGCTGGGGGTATGTATGTATATTTTTGTGGAGGACCTGCTACCCAGCCTTTTCGCTTCATCTCATCCAAAGAGACAGGATTGTTGAGTTCATAGACTTGAAGTATCTCGTATGCGAATTTTGCTGCCATCTTCCCTTGATTGAATTCGACGTTACCAACGCCACCCTCGTCCTCTATCTCGCCCGGTGTTTTCGGCTCGCTGAAGAGGCACATATACTGGAGCTGCGATTTAGGCCGAGTAATATAAATCCATATCCGAGAAACCTGTTGTGGTATTTTCCAGACTCTGAATTCATGATTCTTAGTTTGGTCCACAATTCTGGCTATATGTTCAGGGTGTAAAGAAACCATGATATCGGAATGAGGAGTTTGAGGACCAAGGGCGCGGATCGACTCCAGAGGCAAACGCTGACTCTCGAGCCCTTGGGTAAACCAATTATCTTGTGAGGGGGGTGCCTCATCTGTTGTGGCGTTATTTTCACCCTGTTCTGATAGGGTACACTCTATGGTTCCCCCGAGCCTAGAAGCTGGAGTCGTGTTGGTGTTGTCTCGTTCTACCCGAGAGTTTGGTATCTCCACTTCCACCTCTGTCCTATCCTCCTGACCAAGTTCTTGGTCCACTGTCTGATAATTATGTGGCTGCTCTAAGAAAATGTCTTCGTCCCCTGGCTCATAAACATTTGGCTGCTCTAAGAAAATGTCTTCGTCCCCTGGCTCATAATCATTTGGCTGCTCTAAGAAAAAGAGATGCTCCTCTTCCTCTGAAGCGAGTAAAGCCGCCGAGCCCTGTCCTGTAATAGTTCGACTGCCACGTGTTGGTGTTTGTTCTAGTTCTGGTTGGTCAATATCCGGACCCAGTTGTGGCTCTAAGTTGTTGACTAGTGGAACTGCGTTCTGAAAGCGCCGGGGGGTAGGACTGTCAGGGTCAGGGCCTTCAAATTCATCATCCTCAGTCTCGTACTCAGTTTCATCCAAGTCTTCCAGCTCCTCGTCAGAATCGGGAACCTCTTGCAGGGGTCGCCGCCCAGTAGACTGAGACTTTGGTTTTGGAGACTTTGGCTTCGTTCTACCAGGTGTAATGTTCTCCTTATCCTCGGGAAGTTCGAAACGCAGCTTCTTCGAGGGCGTTGCCTCTACGGTGGACTTTTGAGCAGAAATCGGAGAGGATTCATGAGCGGTACTATAAGAGTCAGGAATAATAGCATTCCTAGGTGTCTTATGGTTTTTCAAAATGGGAGATGGTGCTGTGACGTTGGTCGACTTGGTTATTAATGGCGAGTGTTGTGGGCTATAGCGCAACAACATAGGTGTCGCCGGTGACTGCGAAGATGGTATCTCGGTCTTTTTCTGCCGATTAACGGGTGTGGCGGACTCAATCAAACTGGGAACGGCGGATCCAGCACCCTCTTGAGTACCAGTCTTCATAGAATGCGCTGTGCTCTTCCGTGGGGTCTTCGCAACGAGCCGGAGATCATTCTCGTCATCGTATTCAGAGTCTTCAATCTGCCAGTTTTCTCGGTCTCTCTCATTTGAGGACATCATCTGGGTTAAGGTCTGTGTGTGAAAGCTGCTTGATATGCTTGGATTAGGCGAATCCCCCAGAGTCTTTCGCCTTTTGGATTTTCGTGGCACCTCATCAATATCCAGTCCATCACCTGCAGTCTTGCGTCTGCTGCTGCGTGATTGTGCCTTAGCCTTCGCTTTTCCAGCCGGCTTGGGCGGTTTGAGCTCCATATTCTCCTTATCGCCATCATACTCAACATCCTCTTCCTCTTCCTCTTGCTTTGCCTCTTCTACTTCCTTTTCGTCGTCGTCAGCAACAAAGTCCTGCATTGCCGAAGAAGTGAGGGAAGTGAAGTCCATTTGTGTCAACGTTTCCTGTTTCAACTTTCTACCAAGTGGCGGACGACGTCCATATGTCTTCGTCGACTGTCGACGATGTGGAAACTTTCGCTGTTTGGGAGCAGCGGCAGTAGATCTATACGTCGTGCCAGCGGATGGTTTCCCACCAGAACGTGTTTGAGTTGGCATTGTTGCGCGGGCCAAAGCTGGCCAACGTTAAGTTAAGACGACTTGCTGCCTGATACCTCGTGACCAATCAAACCATCAACCAATCAATCACTTCTGCACAGCGGATTCAAAACAGGGTTCTACCAAATAGATAGGAGGCCAATAGAGTGGTTAGACGATAGAAGGAGTGCAGCGTGAAGAAATAGCTGTACGACAGAAGATGCAAGATGTCAGAACTCGTATTGTGTGGTTTTCATCTCCCTAACAGTCGATATAAGGGACTAGAGGAGCGGTGGTGATGACGTGGGGGTGGGTTGAACACGCGCTCTGAAACTCCGATATCGCGTCAAGTGCATATCAATTAGTATACCCCGGTAAAGCAATATGACTACACGCTCATATGATCCGATAGTGGCATATGTAGCTTCAAGTCTATCTCCACTTGACCATACCTTAGGTAGGTACCTCCCCTGCTACTGAATGCAGGGATACCACGGTAGGTAGATAGGTACCTGCGAGTTTCTAGCGGTGGCGCAGCCCTCGTGTTACCTAGGCTTCGCCGTGACAGCATCCAGATCAATGATTGACCATTATGGTAGGTAGATAGTTACAACGTGGAGGATTACCACATTCATGATCAAGTACCTACCTGTAGGTACCTAGGTATAGGAAATATATGTGGGTTAGGTGATTTTGATAGCCTCAACCTACATGTACTGCATGTATGTATGTGCTTAGAATAGTAATGCATTCATTCATTTGCACTTCCATTGAGCACATACCTATCTCCCTATTTTATTTGGAACGTATTACATGTGTTAATCGGCCGTTGCTGCTGGCCCCATGCGCCTAGCTACGTAGGTAGGTAGGTAGGTAGGTATCCGGGGTAATTGCTATCACTCCCCCCGGGATAGATCCATCTTCCCCATCTACCGTCTACCGAAGAGGATTTGAGCCGAGGCAATCTACACTACAGGAAATAGCAAGCAGCTTGAGACACCCCCTCCCACAGCGTACCATTCAACAAATAGGCGTCGTACCTTATGTAGGTAGTTACATACGAGTCTTACATATCTAGTAGTACACGAGAACTCGCATCGTTTGTTATCTGCCTTACACTTGCATCCCGGCCTAGGATCTACGTACGGACACGGAGACGGTGAAGGTTTGCTGTCCGAGTTTGGGGTTCGGCTATTCCATCCATCCTGTCTCATGATCTGACCTGCTGTGTGATGTCGTTTGTGTGTCTGCTTCAAACTCGATCAGCATTTGTGTGACCATTGTGTTTCCCCAAGATTGCTGTGTCGGGCCTCTGCCGCTCCATACTATCGCAAATGTAGGTATCCTAGACGCGCATTGTCGCGAGACAACCGAGAGACAGAGGGAAAGACACACTTTCGCTCTCCGACTCACATCCCACTCACTCACTCACTCACCCATCTACTTACTCACCCTACGTTTCTTATAAATTCATTCATTTCTCGTACATTGTTACTAATATGTGGAAAGTTTCGTTGACACAAATTTCTGAATTTACCTCCATCCAAGAGATCACCAACAACCGGCCATTATAACAACAACTACAATTGCACCCCCCACCACCACCATCATCATGTCTTCATGCCCCTTCCACATAAAAGAGCACGTAGTGCCAGGCCAACATGTCAGAGAATGGGCGCGCGCAACATCGCACAGCCAAGACGATGTGGTAAACCTGCACGTGAAGCAGTACATCCCCAAAGATAACCCCTCGCCCCAGCCCGGCGACGTGACCATCATTGGGGCGCACGCGAATGGGTTTCCGAAGGAGCTGTACGAGGCGCTGTGGGAAGACCTGCACACGCGGTCAAAGGCAAACGGCTTCCGCATCCGCGGCATCTGGATCGCCGACGTCTCGAACCAGGGGTGGAGCTTTCAGCTGAACGAGGACAAGCTGGGCAACGACCCGTCCTGGCACGATCACTCGCGGGACCTGCTTCACTTGACCAACGTGTTCCGCGCCGAGATGCCGCGGCCCATCGTCGGCGTAGGGCACTCCTTCGGCGCCAATATCCTAACGCATCTCTCGCTACTACACCCGCGTCTGCTGACGACTCTCGTCCTGCTAGACCCCACCATCATCGTCTTCGACCCGGCGAAGAACTCGGGCCCAGGATCCTCGCCCGCTCGCGCCTCGACGTGGCGCCGCGAAGTTTGGCCGAGCCGACAGGCTGCCGTTGAGTCGTTCCAACGGTCGCCGTTCTACCGGTCCTGGGACCCGCGGGTATTGAAAACTTGGATTGAGAACTCCGTCCGGGATTTGCCCACCCCCCTATTTCCCGAGCTCCCTCCTGATTCTTCCTCTTCCAAACCCAGTTCCGATCTTCCCTCTAGCACCAATACCCATCCCGGCGTAACATTGCGCACACCAAAGCATCAAGAGGTCTTCACATTTTTCCGGCCTCTATGGCCTTATATCACCTCAGAATCATCGGAGTCTTCCCCACCACACAACGTCCTAAAATCCGCCGTACCAGACTACGACCCCTCTGAATCATCAGCGCTAGCACCAGGGCCGACGCCCTACGCCTTCTACCGCTCCGAAGGCGGCATCGTCCTCAAGGCTCTGCCATCCGTTCGTCCCAGCGCGCTCTTCGTGCACGGCACTGCAAGCGAAATCTCCAAGCCAGACATCCGCGCCCTCCGCCTCTCCACCTGCGGCGTCGGCCCCGGCGGCAGCGGCGGCGCGAAGGCCGGGCGCGTGGCCGAGGTGGTCATGGAAGACAAGGGCCACTTGTTCCCCATGGAATGCCCCGACGAGACGGCCGCGCACGCCGCGCGCTGGATTGGGGCCGAGATGACTCGGTGGCGCGAGGAGCAGGCCGAATACGAGTCGTGGACGAAGCTGCCCACGCTCGAGAAGACAACGATGAGCCAGGAGTTCATGGACAGGGTTGGACGGCCAAAAAAGTCCAAACTATGACAGCTAGATTCCGTCCATCTATCTAATTACCTTTTACACAACGAATAGATATGGTATTTTGAGAATAAACAAGGAGACAATGCAATCTAGTTTATAGGCGAGGTCAGGCTAAAGGGGGCGAGAAAGGTAAAATCAACAATCTTAGTCATGTCATTGCTAGAATACCTTTCGACACCCTGTACTGCTCTAGAATTACAACAACGTTTCAATATATGTCTCACTTGTTGACTCGAGCATTTTGAGTGAGAAGAACATATTTACAAGACATACTTTCGAGCCTCTAGAAGCAATGAATAGTGGAGCAGCCGCAGATATGCACCATGCCAACTCGGTGGATTCGAGCAAGTAATGTCTAGCATTGAATCGCTACTATTTCCTCGGAAGCAACCCCTGGCGCTTGATTTCGCACATGGGATAGTTATGGGAAGCCAAATACTTTAGAGTGTCAATGCCATATTTAATGGGGAGGTTCTATTTGGACTAATGCAACATCATTTCATACTGTAACAACTTAAACAGTCTATGTACCTTATGTAAGTTATGAGAAGCTGTCACAGGTTTAATTCGTAAAGGGGTCGGGAGAGTAAGCCCAGGCTGCCGATATGAACACCTATGCCTTTTGCACCCTTTCCGCCCAACCTTACGCCGCCAACGAACCTTTCATGCAGAGAAATCCATTTCACAACTCCTATCCTCATCCTTTCTCGTTTCTTTTTCGTTCTCGTCAGCTCGTGTAAGATTAGATATCCCAGGAGACCTGGTTTGATTGACCCATAGCAAAATGCAGACTACGGTGTCGCATCAGTTACTTGTTGGTCTACTTACGACTAAAGCACAGACGTGCGAGCATGCAATAAAAGAGAGCCCTTTCTTCATCCCATTCATGCCAATCGATCCTACCAGTAGGATACTAAGATAGATGGAAAGCCCCTTGGCCTTCCTTGATAGCCACGAATAGCTGCCGTTTTAGGATATCGATACTAGTGTAGTTGGGGAGTTTCAAGTAGTTCACACAAGTCATGACGCTGGGTAGATAGTCGTCGGATGTGTAAGGAGCCTCACTGGGCTTGCAAACCACCGTAAACATTGGGGTCAAGCTCTTGAAACCTAACATACTATTAGTTGGGAGATCTTATTACAGCAGAAGAGCGTGCACATACCTCCAATGGGGAGCTTCGGGCTGCCAGTAGTGAATTGTAGAAAGTCGCGACGCTGAGTTGGTGTCAATTCACTCATCGTCTGAAGCAAATTTTTGACGCTCTTGCTGTCCATGTTGAAACCATGGTCTGCTTTGATAGAATCCGTCAGGGCTACCAGCAAATGTTAACTTCTTTACCACTTTATCATCATACGGTCAACTTACTCTCTAGAGACCAGTCCTCCTCTGCACGGCCAAAGAGTGTGACAAGTTCATCCGGTGTAAAGGCACTCAAAGCCGAATAAGGAAACACTTGAGAAAACCCAGCACGGAAAGCGTCGACCTGCCGCTTAACGCCACGACCAAGTGTCATGTCAATTACCTTCTCAAGATAAGATTCAACGTTATCGATTGTCACTTGTACATGAGACCCCCTTGGGATGAGCTCAATCTCAGGAAACCCGGGCAAAGTGAAATCCAGAGCAAGATCATCGAGCTTCGTGCCATCAACGACAATGCTCTCTGTATCCGCAACTTTCTGCGCTGGTGTTCGGTTTGGGTCCTCGACAATTGCTTTCTTCGCTAACACAAACTTCTTGATGTGCTTCAATGAGTGGGCTAGGCCAGGATCCACGATTTTAACTGCCCCGAGCGACGGTTTAACTCCTGAACCTACACCTATACGGAAGAATGTCGGATTGAGATGGATATCAATAATGCGAGAGTCAATCATGGACCGGGCGACAAACTTGCCAAGCATTCTGAAGAGTTGCAAAATGATTTCGCTGGATGGTTCATCCTGATTGAGAGGCCTCGGAAAGAGTCCCTTAGGAGCAGATACAAACTCATCAGAGTCATGGGAATCTTCTTCACGCCAAAGCTTCAGCTTTTTCTTGGAAAACTCTTTGGAAACTGTGGAGTAAAATTCCAAAGTTGGTCCCAAACCAGTTCCAACCTCTTCGAAATACTCAACCTCTAATATGCTTTGGGAGCTACCATATAATTCCATGACCTTAAGAGCAGACTCAAGAATTTTAGAACGTGAAATGCGAACCTTTTGTCGCTGGAGACGGCCAAGGAAAGGGCGCTCATCCCTTCGGTCTCGCCGAGAGGTATCCTCCTGCTGTGCGTTTTGCCATCTACTCATTGACCGCGCGTAACCGAATGAAGTAGATTGAAGGAACAGATGCCGCGTCTCAAATGGAAAAAGGAAAGGGTACAATCTAGCCAAATCTTCACTCCAGCTTGGCAGACAATTGCTTGCAACGATCAGGGGCTCCTCTAGTTGACGATTCAGCTTCGCTGTGAGTTTTGTGTTGACGAACTGAGAGAGCGGCTCCACGTTCAACCTTAGGTTGTTCTTGTTCTCCACCACGATATCGTCAATATTAGCATTGAGATCATGGAGTATGTGAAGAAGGCGGAGAATCGATGCAGTAGTGGGATGATTCGCAAGCGACGCAGGAACACCGTTTACATCTGGTAATCCATCGAAAGAGGGCGAGGAGAAGCCGATAGGTTCTGCTGGTGGTGGTCCAGATACGCGGCGAAATTTAATAGTATGTATTGTAGAGAAAACGCTACGACTCAAATGATCAGGAGAAGGAGAGGGCGCGTTGTGCACAGCGCGATAAATTGTCGTTTCATTGGGAATTACTCTATCACCAAGGCTGAACTCAATGTGCCAGTCTTGCGGCACCGACTGTATAGCCGCCGCGTATGATAGCGGTCTCGAAGAAGGTCCTGGTGTAGGCGTAGAAGCGTTCTGTTGTGCTGGGGTGGATTGCGAAGGAGCGCTACGACTAGGAAGGTTGGCGAGCCCGCTTGTCTGACTTGGTGTAGGCACTCGTGTTCCGTCTTCCTTTGTAGCGGTAATCTTCCCCCCAGCAGCTACTTCCATATTGACCGCGGTTGGGTCGGGACCAGGGGCATCTTCCATTTCCTCATCTAACTCGCCTACTATCGCGTCGAGGGCGCTGCTAGCACCCATGTCAGTAGTCTCATCCTCTTCTTCCTCGTCAGTGATTTGTTTTTCATCTGCACACTCGAGCGCATTCTGTAGATCGTCGTCTTCTGCCGGTGGTGGCGGAGGCGGAGGTGGTGCAGGAGTCTCGTCGGCTGGCGCTGGATGACGACGAGTAGACCTGCGAAGAATGGCTTTCTCTCTCCTTGACGGTAATGTCTGGCCCGGCGTTGAAGGCGTCTCAACCTCCGGTTGATTCGGTTTGGATTTCCTGGTTGTACGAGAAGTAGAGGGTTGTGGCGGCGGCGGCGGCGGTGGTGATGCAGAATTAAGAAAACCGGTACTGAATCTCTCTGCAAGACGGTCTCCTGGTACAAGACCAGCAGAACTGGCCATGGCGGCTAATGCTCGAGATAAACCGTCACGAGGCCGAGACCCACGAGGACGCTCGTGGAGATTGATACGAGGTCGCAAGTAATCGTCTAAAGCTTTGAAGGTAGCAATAGCATGAATGGAGACCATTATACTCCGATACGATCGTGGTATGTCTGAGTCCTCATCGGCAGTGAGTTTAATCTTGATCTGCTTCGCCAACATAGAGGCAGCACTACTACTCCGGTTGTCAAGGGCATTATGATGAACAGTGAGTACTTCAAAATGCTCTGAACGACTCAGTAGATCCTGAAGTTTGTGGATCATGACACTGAAAGGTGTTGTCGGCGAGTCAGCGGTAGCTGTCTTTCGCTTGGAACTAATTGGTTTAGCCATAAACACCTCGAGAAAGGCAGCTCTTGCGGCGTTAGCCAAAGCTTCATCAGGGTTACAAAAGACCTCTTCGACAACACGGACCAACCCAGAAGCTAAAAGCTCTGCACTCGTTACACTTTCAAGCAGGTCGGCGTCGAAGTACGATGCAAGTTGCTTCCATAGCGCTGTACCATTCTGTGGGCTCAAATCATTTGCTGTGCGATGGAGGTAGAAGGCCTCAATATCAAATGCTAGATGTTGGAGATCGCTGAGAATCTTTACAGCCTTCTTCTTCATGGCTTTCCCATGCTTCTCCGTTTCATAAGTATCCATGAATTTCTTTGCAGCTTCAGCAATTCGAGTCTTCATTGATGGCATATCAGTAACGAAGAGACGTGGAGGTGCATCTAAAGACATTGTAGAACCATCGGAACTAGGAGAGGCAGTCATGTCCTCGTGGTGGTCATTTTCTTGGTCTTCATCGTCTTCATCATCTTCATCGTCGTGAACATGGTCTTCGTCGTCCTCTTCATCTTCATGATCGTCATGGTCCTCATCATCTTCGTCCTCATCATGATGATCACCATCGTCAGAATCGTTCTGAACTGAGACCCTGTCCGCTTCAGTATTTGATGAAGTTGCGGGTTTGTCTTCTGGTGGATTCTCAACAAGTTTAGCCTCTGGTTCATTGTATTCGGCTGCTAGCTTAGCAATCTCTGATATAACGCCCTCTCGGTAAATTTGATACCGATATATTAGCTCTAGGCGGCTGAGCAGCAATTCGGTAATCTGCACAGCATACATCACCAATGATGGGTGGTCCTGCTGGGACAAAATCGCAGCAAGGAACGAGGCATAAGGGACTGCTTTCAGTGAGTCAACAAGAATATCTTTGTCCAAATTCGAAAGCATCTTCAACTGAGCGTCGAGCACCTTTTGGCGCACCGTTAAGTTCACTGTACTAGAAAAAGCGTCCGTAAGGGTGGGAAATAGGATAAGGGCAAATCTTCGCACTTGATCCTTGCATTCATCTAGAAGCTCTAATCTTTTCTCAGAAGACGACTTTTTACGTGTTCCGATGGAAGATGAGGAAGGAGTGATTGGCCCCATAGCATCGAGATCACTGGTGACTTGAGGCGTAGAAACTTCAGGCCACCTTGCCCCGGGAAGCAACTCGCAGACGACGTTAAGAGTCTCGATGATTTGTTCACGGGGTCGGTGAATCAGGGCTTGCATGATGACCACACTGTCAAGCTTTGAGGCAACATCTTCAGTCTCACTGGGAGGCGAGACGCCAGTTAAAATTTGGTACAGCGTCTCAACAACGTTCAATTTGACCAGCTCAGCAGAAAGACGAGGACTGGCCTTGGCAGTAAAAGCCAAAGATTGGAGGAAAAGGGTATGGATGCTGGAACTGATCAAATTTGTCGTGCCTGGAACAAGTAATCGTAAAATAGCCTTAAGAAGGTCAACACTGACGAGTTGTTCCAGCTTAGACGATTGGTATCGAAAGCTCTCGATGATACGAGTGACACACAAGGAAGCTTGCTCAACGACACGTTGGTCGCTACTTCCAAGAACATTAAGGAGGATTGGCATAACCTCTTTGATTACCGGAAAAGAATCTTCAGGGATATTACGACAGCAGTTGGCTGCTGTCGTTACTGCAGTACGCTGGGTGCTTGTAGCGAAGAAGTCCAAGTACGATAGGCAGGCGGACAGGCCTCCTTCCCTGACTATGCTGGTAGGATACTCGACGGATATTTTTTCTAGTGTACTTAGAGCTTGTTCTGCCAAGTCAATGAATTGGATTTCCAATAACTTCCTACACAAGACGGGAACAGCCCCTCCATAAACAACATTGGCAGCGCTAGCAGGGAGGGCTTCCATGAGATTTGCTAGACAACGACATGCTAGAAGCATGATCTCAGGACTCTCTTCTCCTGTGAATTCGTTCGGCTGCATCAGAATCACCAATTCTTTGACAAAGGCATCGGGAGAAAAGTGTCCCGAGAGATTATCTTCGTTCGATACCAGGAGAATTTCAGATAGTTCTTGTAGAGCAATGAGCTGCACTGAAGGGTCACCCTTCTGCCGGAGATTGTTAAGAATATCGCGTAATCTCGATGAAATGCCTGACATCATCCCAGTCAAAGCTCTAAGAGTACTGGATAAGCCGGCCCCTGGAGGCCCCCCAAAGCCGCCAAAGGGGTCGTCATCGTCGTAATGGCGGTGACGATCTTCGTCATCTTCGTCGTCGTCATGGTCCTCGCTATCATCATCCGAATCGTGTGCAGGTGGCGGCGGTGGTGGAGGAGGTTGAAGAGTTTCCTTTTCCTTCCCTTGATCTCCAGTCCCAGTCATCGTTACGTCTTCATCCGGAGAGGTTGGATTGTTCGCGGGTGCCCGTTTTGACCTCCGTGTTGGGGCGGACGTACTGGCTGAAACTCAAGTTAGTCACAATCAAGAAAGAGTTATCAGTTAGGGACATGTAGTCTACCATTTGTTGCCTGACTGGTCTTCTTGTGGCGACTTGACTTTCGGCTTGACGACGCCGATGCTGCTGCGGAGGCAGGAGTGCCTTGCATAGTGGATGGCACTTGAGGCTCAGAGCTCCTTTATAGCGAATATTAGTTTTATGACCGTACACATATCTGGTAAAAACCATGTAATGTCGGTTGATCAGAGCTTACCCAGATGGACTAGACATGGTTGCTGTGACCTTGCCCTTGCGCTTCCGGGGTGCAGCCGCAGGGGTCTGGTGCGGCGGTTGTGATTTCTCAGAAGGGCTATTGTTCTGCACCTTCTGACGCTTTGATCTACGAGGAGAAGATGGCCGTTCGGTTGGGGGCTCTTGCGGAGCAGGCTTATCTTCGGTGGTTATCTTCCTCTTTCGAGATGAATGTGGTTGGGATTCGGAGGAAGAGGCTGATTGGGCGAGGCTGCCAGTCGAAGGCGCCACAAACTGGTCCACAGCAGATTGACCCGAAGTACGACTTGCTGAGGAAGAAGCCTGAGAGGCCGCAGCGGCTTGGCGGGTAGATGAACGAGTAATCCTGGAAGACATGAGTGTCTGGTGCGGTCATAAGAAATGCATGAAATGACCAAGACTCGAGAGAATCAGAGCCGTGGGATGGACTAAGTTGACGGCCGAGCGAGAAAAGCGAAATGGAATATGTGGGTAAAGGTAAGAAGATATGGCGCGCCCCTGGTGGAGGGTTGCATCTGCAGGTTGGTAGCTCTCGATGCGAGACTGCTTAAGGCTTGACGACCGGGATGCAATTTGTTGTAGATGCCTCAACAATGTACGAGGCCAGCAGTTTGCAACAGAGACGAAGAGAACACAATGCAGAGGGTGAAGGCGGTTGTTCAGGCGGGCATGTGATTGTGATGGATGGGATATTCGGTGGGTAGGCAGGTAGTTGAGAAGGTAGGATGCACACAAAGAGCACTCGCGCCGCCCGGAACGGAGGTACCGAGCTACAAAGCTACCTTGTGCCTGTACCCGACCCGGCCTGACCTGGTCTGATTTCGCGGCAGAGGCGACAATTTAGTTAACCCGGCGAGTATTTGGATTTTGAGGTCTAACTTTAGAGGTGCACCAGTGATAGCGACACTAAGCTGTTGAATTGACGTAACTTTAGATGAAAAAGAGGGTATGGTGTGTGTTGGCAGAACGTGAGGCAGTACAAGGTATCTAGTCATTTACAGAAACAAATAAATGACCATAGAGACATAAAAATGTGAGGTGGGTGAATGAAGCACAGACAATCAGTGCCAGAGAGACGGGATTTTTGTTCATGGCCACAATGGCGGACGTTTTAGTACCTTTAAATGGCGAAACACCAGGTAATGTGATCGATGGGTATGAGCAAACGGTAAGGTAATAGCCCTTCCACTTCCACTACGCTTGCACGGACATTTACAGACGACAGCAACCCCGACAATAGGGAATATGAATGGGAATGCAGATAGAAATAGACGCTATCGTGACTGGGAGGAAATATTGGGATAGACAGACGAGCAGAGGGTGGATCGTACCTGGAAGACGGTGGGGATAGTGATGACGCAGAGGGCGACGAAGGTGCGACTGATCGCGAACTCGAGGTCTTGTTATAGCTTATTGGAGATGGTGTGTGTTGCGACGGATGCAGTAGGGAGGGATCAGAATGCTGAGACAGTTGCGCTGACGGATCGTGATCGTTGTCGTTGTCGGGGCCGTGGCCGTGGTCGTGGATGTGATATTGATCGTGGTCGAGAGCCGATCGAGAGCGCGGGTTCGCAGCAGGTGGTTTTCGGTCTGCCATGGATTACGCCATGAGGCAGGCGGCGTGCGATGGGCAGACGGAGATAAAAACGTGGGCGTGTCAACGGTCGGTCAGTGGTGTTAAGGTGAAGTTATCGCGAAGGGCGGTCGGAAATACTAGACGCTATCGGGTTCGCAGAGGCAGAGAGAGGTCAGTTCGACGTCAGCCCTTGCTTAGGCCTTCCCCTCTTATCACTGTTTGTATCCCGATGTCCTCGTTGGTCGCTCATCCGATCGGGTGGTCCGGCCCCGGTCGAGTCTATATACGGCTTGTCATAAGACTATCGTTATGCTATCTTCGCTGTCACCGATGCTATGGCGCTCGTTGTATGCAAATATGGGGAGGTGAAGGGGTTCGAGACACCTGTCGCCGCTAAGAAGAAAGCTTGGAGATGGATGAGCATTCCCGACGAGGGTTTGACCTCATCCCTCAGCGGCTAGCCGGGCTGTCGCTGTCGTATCAGCAGGGGGTGGCTATATAGGTATAAGACTTGCCCAGTACTGCCCAGGGTAACATCCTCACTGGAGCGGTACTGGGCGAGCTGGGATAGCGCGCGCTGGCCACTATCACGCTACATCGGTATCGGGCTTGGCCGGACTGCCCCTCCTCTGCCCTCCTACATACTTACAGTGCATACTTAGGTACCTAGCCGCTGTCGAGCAAGCCCATCCGTTGGAATGAAGCTGGTGTGCATTTATCAATTTACCCGCCAAGACCAGTATAGGTTGCCGATCCAGGGTTTACGAAAGTCTCTCCATCTAATACGATAGAGAGCACGTACTACTTCAATTCTACATATAACATATGCATGTATCAACGCTGATAAGATGTCATTACCAATGGCTCTCACTAGTGTAAGAAGCAGCGGCATGTTCAACCTTGACCTATATAAACTAGCATATCCAACCAGGTATCACCATAAACAGGCAACCAGGCATGATAGGCATGTGTGAAGTCATGGTCTGCTTCTCATATTAGTTAATTTTCGTCGTGATACAGGCCCATTTCAGGCAAGCATGCACGACTCTTAGGGTTAACACCTAATCGATCTACGTTACATGGTGATTTAGGTAAGTAGTTTCTCTTACTCCATCCATGGCACACGGCATGGTATGGCATCTACCGGCCCATTTACGTGGCACATGGATCGCCCCGACTTACAGACCCTCAAGAGAATTAAGTGGTGTCAAGGCGGTGACTACTCCGCTTGCATCATGCACGCCGAGACCTGCGCCAACAAGAATATGCATGCAATTGTTGTTGGGGGACTGCCATATCCACTCATACGAGGGTACCTCGTTACCAGCGAGCAACTCTGTGCGATCCAAAGGATATCACAGCTTCTTTTATCCTCTCAAGGGTCTAAGCTATTCTTTCCACCTTCATACTCGCCTAGATCGTACTCGTCTGGGTATCTCTCTAGATAGTCTCGTAGTTCCTTCATCTGTGCCCGCAATTCTGGAGTGAGCTCTTCGTAAACGTCCTCAAACATGGCACGGATTGGTGGCTTCTTCTCGCGCTCCGCTTGTGAGAAAGCCTTCAGCACATCCCGCCTTATATTGTCTCGGGCTTCCTTATCTTTTGCTTCGTCCCAGATTCTCTTTGCTTCCATATATTTCCGCAGCCGAGAGATGGGGTTGTCTCGGCGCTTCCAATCGTCCACCTCGACTCGCGCACGATATGCAAAAGAGTCGTCAGACGTGCTGTGGTGACTGACGCGGTAGCTCATGGCCTCTATGAGGATGGGCTTCCCTCCGTCTTGCAGCGCCATTTGTCTGGCCTTCCTCGTGGCCTCTCTTACAGCCCAGATGTCGTTCCCATCCACTCGAATAGTATCAATACCGTATCCTATGCCTCGGCTAGCGATGCCATCGCCTCGGTACTGGTCTAAAGTTGGTGTGGAGATGGCATATCCATTGTTTCTGCAGATAAATACAACTGGGCATGACCTAGTGGCCGCAATATTCAGCGCCGCGTGAAAGTCGCCTTCGCTCGCAGCGCCCTCCCCAAAGTATACAGCAACTATGCGAGGCGGTAGTGATGGGTCGTTGATACGCTGCATTTTCAGTCCGTAAGCTGCTCCAGCAGCCTGTGGTATCTGCGTCGCCAGAGGCGATGAGACCGTGTGCTGTTGGCTTGTTAATTGAAAGGTCTGGTATGTTCACTTCTCTTGATTGACTTACGATATTGAGCTCTTTACTACCATAATGGACAGGCATATTCCTCCCACGGCCATTATCTAATTTATTCGCGAACAGTTGGTTCATGAAGTCGTTTAATGTGAATCCACGCTGCGCAAAAACACCCTGTTCGCGATATTGACAGAACACGACATCTTGCTTGTCAAGAATCGAGGCGGATCCCACGCTGATTGCCTCCTCGCCAGCTGATACCATATAGAAGCTTAGGCGACCTTGGCGCTGCGCATCAAACATGATGACGTCCATTATAGAGATCATCAACATCGTTTTATATAGCTGCACGATCTCGTCGTCGCCGAGGTCCTGCTTGAAGGAATGGTCGACAATGTTGCCATCTTGATCAACTACGCGATACGTAGGTAGGGCCGGGTGGTCTGAGGGCTGTGTAAATCTGAGGTCGCTCGTAAATGCGCTCTTGACGGCGCCGGGGAAGGAAACATAATCCGAGCCTGGTCGTTGGGACACGCTGCTCGCCAGTCGAACACTAACAGTAGAGCCCAGGTAGTTACAGGGAGCAGCGCGGGGTCGAGTCTGGAATACTCCTCGCAAAGATGACTTTGGAAGTATCCTCCGCTTCATGTTCAATCTTTAAAATACAAGAAAACAAAATACCCAAGCCCGTTTTATAGATAATTGACAAGTTTGGTCAAATCTCAAACAGGAGGACTGTAAATGCAGATGGTCTGGGGGGATGCTGCTGGGTGGGTTTCCCCGGACTTTCAATGTTTGCGACGTCACTTTAAGCCGGTGCAAAGCGAAGCGTCTACAGCCGTCGCTTTCCATATCTTGGCATTTCATCTCAACTACGGTACTGAGAATTAGATAAGCAATAGACGCGTTCTCAGATGATGTACTGCAATGTTCATTGTTAAGTAAGATCAGAGAAATTCGCAGCCTGTTTAGCGCCTGCGGATGTGGGACATACATTACTTTTGGTGTACCTAGAATTTCGCAGAAAGGCAAACAGATACGTATCGTAAGGTACTTCACAAAATCGAGATCATGTACCTATGTTATATCCATTTAAGTTGCATGGGATGGGGCCTAAAGACCAAAGCGATAAACCAGTACAGATCCCCTAAGATGAATACATCCTGTTTGTCGGTTCATACCATGCTTTGAATATCTCTAAGACGATTTGCCATTTATATTCAGTATATATACCATAGACCTGGGGTGAACAGTACTCATATGTACCTACCTAGGTACATATGTAGGTACTTTGGTGTGATATTGTATCTCTTAGGCAACCAATACTCTTGTTGTCTTTGCGTATTTTTGCTCTGTAGTATGCTCAGTTGGCATACTGTATGAACATAGGCAGGCTTCTTGTGGCATATCTTGTGAGACAAAACTTGCTGCTGTTTTACCTAGGTAATTAAGCAAGCCCGGATTTGCTACAGCCAGCCATCAAAGTACAGAGAAGCTCTCACATGCGCAAATTTTACCCTTTGTATTGGCAGCAACCCGATTGGAAACATCATCGCATCGAAGCACAGATTCAGGAACATTTCGACATCCATATTTCCTTTTCCTTAAGACAATCGCGCCAAACCCTGGACCCAGGCATCATGTTAATTGCTCCGAACGCCGTCATCGCCATCCTGGTTGTGTTCATTTTCATTGGCGTTGGTCTTCTGGTCTGGAAAGGCAAGCAGCTAGTTGAGCTCTTCGCCCACGCGATGTTCACAGCGAGACAGGCGCAGTGGGAACAGCATCAGGAACAGGAACGAGAACAGTCACCACGGCGTCGTCGGCGCTCTTCAGAGAGCGTTGAAGCTAATGTCTAAGACAAGCAAATCAAATAAAATCCACTGATTACACTCAGCTGGACAAAAGGGATCCAACGGGTCCCGAGTTCAACGCGTTGTATAAGAAAGAGAAACAAGGATTACTTAAAATAAGACCAACAGCCTGGAACAAGATATAAATATTGGCAAGACCGGAGCTGCAGCTGAGTCTTGGCAAGGAACTGCCGATTCTCCACATTCCAATCGCATCACGGTAGGGCGGGGCCCCATTCCCGCGCCGTCCTCCGATCCCTTAGCTTAGCTTTTCCCTCGATTTTTGCTCGAGTCGGAGCCGGGGTGTCGCTGTGTCTACAATCTACGACCTTCATTCAACACGGCAACAACGAGATATCCTATCCACACCCCCTAATCGACGATCTAGCTCACCAAGCCATACATAAGTCCACAGCAGCCGGCATGGCTGCCCGTCCCGCTGTTCGCGCAGCTTTACGATCAGCTCGACGTCAACCTATCGCATATACACATAGCCCAAACTCTCGCCGAGCCTTCAGTACCAGCACACCACTTCTCCGACCCAGTACTACATCCTCGACATCCCCTTCACACAATAGTCCCAACGATGGCAGCAACCCGCGAACAACGCATTTTGGGTTCCAAGATGGATTGTCCGAATCTGAGAAGACGGAGCGCGTAGCAGGCGTCTTCCACAGCGTCGCCGAATCATACGACCGCATGAATGACCTGATGTCCTTCGGATGGCATCGCATCTGGAAGTACGTCGACTCTCTTTCTCACATGCAGACTGATTCAAGACCTAGCTAGCTAACCATTCTTCGCTCAATCGACAGGGACCACTTCGTCTCCTCCCTAAACCCAGGCCACTCCTCCAGCATCCCCCCAGCTCCGCAGCGTGTTCTCGACGTAGCAGGCGGCACCGGCGACATCGCTTTCCGCATGCTGCGCCAATCCCATGTGGTGAACGCAAACCCGAACATCCACATCACAATAAGCGACATCAACCCTTCGATGCTAGCAGTCGGCAAGCAGCGCTCGCTCTCGCTCCCCGCCGCCCAGCAAGCGACACTCTCATTCCTCGAGGCCGACGCAACCCAGCTTCCCCCATCGATCCTCCCCAACTCCCTCGACCTCTACACCGTGGCCTTCGGCATCCGCAACTTCGCCAATATCCCTGCGGCGCTCGCCGAGGCGCACCGCGTGCTCAAGCCCGGCGGCATATTCGCCTGCCTCGAGTTCAGCAAGGTCCGCAACCCGATCTTCGACGCCATCTACAAGCGTTGGAGCTTCTCTGCCATTCCCCTCATCGGCCAGCTGGTCGCCAGCGACCGCGATTCATACCAGTACCTCGTCGAGAGCATCGAGCGCTTCCCCAGCCAGGAGGAGTTCCGTGGGCTCATCGAGGACGCCGGCTTTGTGGTCGGCGGTGAGGGCTACGAGGATCTAACGAACGGCATCGCTGCCATACATAAGGGCATGAAGCCGCTGTGACGATAATGTGACCACGTTCTCATACCACGCCCTTTCCCCCGCGAGAAAAGGGGAACTAGTTATGTACATTACCTTGTGTTATTACAGATAGATGGGGCTCGATGAATCAGAGCCAATATGATCCCTTCCTCCAGGGCCTATGGAAAAGCTTTTGGTGAGCTGAGGGGAAGTCTGCTCGAATTCAAAACGGCCAATCCCCAAAAACATAATAAAACATGAATGAACCTGCCCTCTCGTAGCCAGCACTTTTCCACTTGACTCGATGTGACATATAATATTTTATTCATTCGTAAATAGCCCCGCAAGTACGCCCAGCACACAATATTCGACATATTCAAAATCCAAGAATGTTGCAAATCAGGAGGAGAAACAAAGAAGAAAGTGACAAGTGAGACCAGGCAAGGGATTGTCAGCATTTCCCTGCTCTAGCGAGAAACCAAGGAACATCCCCGTCTTTCATTTCTTATAAAGCAAACAAATCTTTTCACATGTCACAGCGACTTCCTAGGAAGTCGCCAAGAGTATACTAGAGATCAGGGAGAGTCAGATTAGCACTCGGATAACAGCCGCCACCAGGTAATGAACCCCAGCTGAGCATATTCCATAAAGCAGAGACATCACAGAGTTAGGGGACGGAGAAGTTTGGTATCATGGTATTTTTAATAAAACTAAACGACCTTTACGGAGGAACTCGTCCAGGTCCATATAGAATAGTGCAACAAAGACGACCCTTTTTAGTACCACTAGCCGAAGAAAAACAACGAGGCTGGCAAGAAAGACAGGGAAAGATGAGTCTCATGTTAGAGGACGTCAGTGTGCCTGGTTGGATTCATCGAGACCTGCAGCATGAACAACCGTATAATCACTCCGCCCACCGCACGCCGGGACGACATCCCATCTCTTCCGAAACCGAACTCCCATCGCACATCAGTGGTCTAAAATACTGCCACCATGATAGTGATAGGAAGCTGAAGTCTTCCAGATAGCAGAGTACAAGCGACAATCGGGAAGTTGTAAAAATTATCGGGTAAAGTGTTGGGAGAACAGAGGGTTTAAGGATGATGGTAAAATCACACATTAGTCCCCACCTGTTGATACGCTTCCGCCGTCACCCTTAATGCCACCACGACCACGGCCTCCACGGCCTCCTCGTTCACCCCTTCCACCACGACCACCTCCACGTCCACCGCGACGGCTGTTCTCAGGACCGCTTTCACCGCCGCTCAGAGCGCCACGGTCGCCGGCACTACGGTATCCACTGGCACTATCTCGCCCCCGGTTACTTCCCCAGGTCCCCGCTCCGCTGCCACGGTTCTGGAATGGCTTGCTCTCACGAGGGTGGAAAATTTTCACCAAAGGCTTTGAGCGGTCTTCAGATTGGCGGACCTTGAAATCGTCGGCGAGGCTGGCATATGCTGCATCCCGTTCCTCGACTGTCTGGAAGTGTGCAACCTTGTTATTGCTGTTATTACCCCACTTTTCGACTTTTGTGATCTTGACTTTGTGCTCTTCAGGGAAGATATCGCGAGTTTGTTCATCGCTCTGGACGTTCATGACGAAGAGCCCAATGATAGACTCAGCGGTTGGTCTTGGGCCAGGTGATGGAATGGTTTCTGGCCCGTTAGTCGCTCCATTAGAAGTAGCAGGCTTCTCGACCTCTTTACTTGCCGGAGCCGCAGGGGGAGCTGTTGGCTTGGGTGTTGCAGGTTTGGTCTGCAGAGGCGTCGCGGCAACTGACTTAGATTGTTGTGCCGCGGCCGAAGAGCTCCGTTGAGGCGCTAACTGAGGCGCACCAGAGGGTACAGCTGGGGCAGTCGGGGGTTGGTTACTAGCTCCAGGGGCAGGAGATGGTGTGCTCTGAGGTATAGTCTGTTTAGCTCCGCGATGAGAGAAGTTGAATCCTTGCGCACGCATTTCAGTACCAATACGCCCTTCCTGAATCTCTAGTACGAGCCAGCCAAAAGCTGCATCCGCTAGATTGAAATTCCACATATTCTTGAAAGCACTCTCGTCAACCTGGCCAGGAGCACCGGGACCACCGACAGGACCGCCAAAGGGATTGCCGCCAGCTGCCGTGTTAGGCATTCTATCCACAAGTCCAAGGGCGTTCTTTAAAAGATTCTGCTGGCCCTCGTTTTGTTGGATTGCAGGCTCAACCTCTGATTTGACAGTCTCCCAAACGTCGTTAAACGAAGCCTTGGAGGCAGCCAGTTTACCACGATAATGATCAAGGGTTGGGTTAACACTGAACTCATTATATGAACTTCCATATCGGAAGTGAAGACCAGCAGAAATCGAGAAATCGGCTTTTAGGCTCACGGATAGTTGGTTTAGGATTCCTTCTCGAGCAGGCGAAGCATGCGTAATGAAGACTCGAGTCTCGGTAGGGTCGTAGACGCGGTTGGCGGTATCAATAAGTTCACCCATTTGAAGTAGAGTAGTCCACATAGTTCCTTGTCCGCCAGCAATGGTTGTTCTACCTTCTCCGTTGTCGAAGAGTTTATGCATCACAACAGCGCCACCTAATCCGAGGAGTCGAAGCTTGACACCACCAATCTCAAGCAGCATGGAACGGTGCTCATCGATGATGTGCAGGTTTGGTACTTTATACTCGTTTGATCTGAACTTTTCCAGCACGCGTACATCCTCACAGGCGCCCCAAACTGTGTAAACCGGAACATCAAGCTTAATCTCGCCCTTGATGAGCTGCGGGAGCTGCGACAAAGGTAAGTCTTCTGGCTGAAAACGCTGCTTGACAGGTCCCGGCTGGCTAATGGACTTCTTGACATTCTCGGAAATCAGTGGAGAGTATTGCGCAACATGCTTGAGTGTCCTATTCAACAAAGTCAGCATAACTAATTGCGCGCTACTAATATTTGGAACTAGGAATCTTCTTCCACATACTTCTCTGCAATCCGATCAAGGGATGTCTCGTCATAGAACCCAAAGTCACCAGTATGAATAATATGATCGGCTCGCGCCTGCCGGGCAAGGTCGTTGAGGGAGCTCAAATTACCTATGGATTTATTATTAGCGTTGCACTTTCGTGCGACGTGAAAACGGTGCTCGTCCTACCTCGTACATCGGCTATACACAGTACACGAATGGGACCATGTTGCAAAACTCGGCCTTGATTTGGCAGGAGCGGGGTGGCGCCGGGGACAGGGCCAGACATCGGGGCGCCGTTGGGCATGTAGCCTTGGTTGTTGTAGGGCTGCCGGGGTTGCTGGAACGGGTCAGGCATTAGTACAGGTTTGAGAAGCCGGATATCACCACACCCGCGACGAGATTGCCGCGAAATGTCAAAGTGAGGATCGTGACGCGAGCTGGGAGGGGCGAAAGACGAATTTGGAGATGACATGATATGGCTCTGGCGCCGATCAGACGGCGGGAATATGGGACGTAGAGGCGCGGGCATTATGTACTATGTTGGATGTTGTGGGCACGGATACTGCTGGTAGGCATAAAGGGAACGATGATGGGAAATGGAGACTCAGAGAATGTGCGAAGCGCAATATGGAGTGAAAAGATGTTGAATTGGCATATAGTGAGGCAAGCCGGGTCTGGAGGGAGGACAAACAATCTGTGGTAGGAGTGCAATATGGCAAGGCGTGGGAAATGTTTGCTGCTCAGGTAGTGCAGAAGGGTATGTGTATGTGCGTTGGGTTGCGAGGGAGGGCATCAAGTTGGATGTTGCCTTGTGCGCAGCACAGCGCATCGTCGCCATGACATGCTGTTCAAACAGACTCGAGCACAAGAACAAAATGGGTGCGTAGCTGGGACTGGGGACCTACCGCCATTACACTATCAAACAATCGACCCTACAGGACACTTTTTCGAAATCTAGTTCCCTCTCCACAAGTACTGCACTACACGCAGTAACGCAACAACTCGGATGCTGTTTGCTGTTTGTGCGTCTCGCGGTCGGTGGGCAACGCGTGTGGCTCGGGCAAGGAAGCTTTCGTTCTCGCTCTGGCTCTCCAAGTCTCGACGGACGGCCTCGGTCTCAACGTGGGCTAATACACGACTGGGGGGGGATATATAGTAGCTACGTGGAAAAGGTACTGCGGGTATCAAAAATACACAACTGTTGAAGTCTGAATGAAAGTCGAGAATAGGAGCGCAACGGCGGGGATGGATCGCGACGGCGACGTGTGCGGGAGGAAGAATTGAGATCTACGGCTCGGTGAAGAAAGGGTCGGGGAGAGATAAAGCTGTGATGCTGCTGGCAGTCACTTCAGGTAGGAACGGCAGCGATAGGCAGATATAAAGGTCTTAGCTGTGATTTTCAGCACAGCAGAGAGATTGAAGGTTGGGGTCTGGTTGGAGCCATCGAAAAGTAGAGCCAAAAAGTCCAGCCAGACGCCAGACGCAGCCAGACCACAGCCAGACAAAACGTTGCGTTGGAGCTGCGCTACGCCGCAACAGGCCTAGCCCGCTACCCCCCGGACCTCCTTGCAGGAAATTGATTCGGTACGTATTCGCTCCACCCGAGACCACAGCAAACACCACTGAGAGCCTCGTTGTCTACATAGTACTTCTACTTCTTCTTCTTCTTCTTCCATCGAACACCTACGACCCCTCATGGACATAGATCCCTCCTCCGGGGCTTTCTTGTATTGGAGATGAAGATCATCGCAAGAATCCATTGACACATAAATTCCAGTGTTTACTTAGTGACTCGGAAACTCTAGTACATACATAGGTACATATAACCTTCAAGGTAAAGAGATAGATATACTCAAGAGGTGTACAAGATGCCCTCTCATTCTATCCATTTCTACGCATGCAACTAGATATAGGTGGCTACTTCTATTTCCCAGTATTGGCTAGGATCTAGAGGCCATACTCACTGTCGCCAGAGAAACACATTACCAACAATGATTATTCTATCATTTAAAAGCACGCTGTCAATGTCACTAATATATTAGCGCGACTAGATACCCCCATTACAGGGGAGGGGGGTATTAGTGCTCTGCCTGCCCTTGAGCGGGCAGGTTATCCAACGTTCCCAGCCGAGCCGAGCTCCTCTCTCTAACATATGACTTCCTTGGAAGTATAAACGCTCATCTTCCTCTAGCCTCTTTTACATGGTCAGATAGTATGTGCTTGATGAATATGTCTGCCAGACCTGTGTTGATGAAAGTTCAATGTAGCTGTTCTTCTAGCTGCCCCAGACCCTTAGCTGTGAAGCCATCTATCTGTTAACACCTAACGGCACTCTTTTCGGTGCCGAAAGTACCGAGACTCTCATTCTCCCCGACGCATGACATCTACAAGCTACACACGCTCAGATGCCTGACCGCCCTTTGACCAGGGTGCTTGATACATAATATGTATATAGTTCAGCCTTCGATATGTGGATAGATATCCCACCCAGGTAACAACAGCCTAGGGCAGGTTACACAAGCTGTTAGCGACCCAGAAAATGCTATCCCGATCAGAAGCGATCCTGATATTCACTGTTCGCTATGTCGATGCAGTGCGCCGAGAGCTATATCTCAAGGATTTAAATAAAGAGTGTCAACTATCTAATTTGGGGTATAGTTTCAGTTCGACCACAATAATTTCTTCCGGCACTTTGAGTTGAGAAGACTTAGGTTTCGCTCATGACATCAATCTTAATAAGAACCAAAGGATTATGGGTGAGCCGCAGAATGCTCGACCCCTTGTAGAAAATCTACTAATAATACTCGATCACCTTCTTTTGTGAACAATCTCAGATGCTTTCAAAAGAGTAGGTATCTCGGATTGAAAGCTTTGCGACACACACTGACCTGTTCCAAGTTGATCCCGCGCTCATTATTGAAAACTGCTCGATCTTTACTAATATCGAAATGCAGAACTATAACTTACATCATAACTTGAATGCCGGAGATTGAGAAATACTCAAGAACCTTTGAGAGGTAATTATTCTCCTATGACCCTTATATTGGCTGCGAGTTCTACGTAATAGCTAAGCCTACAAAGATCGAGACTTTCCGATGCCCAATAAGCAGGTACTTGAACACCTTCACCTTCGTTGAGTAGGGCAACTGTAGAATAATGACATGGTGAACAAGGGCTTTGCTGTTGCTTAATTACAGTTTGCATTAGCCCCTAACTGATGCATATGACAATTACCTGAGTTGATTTTTCATCCAAGTTGTAGGCGAGTATCTAAGGTAGATCTCAAATCACCACCTATCTCGTGTTTGAGAGCCCCTTAATGCATTTAGTTTACTTGAGCAATAAGAAGTGGTGGAATTTTCGAACACTATTGCTATAGTTTTTCGTTTTTGCGAAAATACTGAAAATTGAAGAGAGCAAATACCAAAGTTATAGTTAATCATCCACACTTGTCGCTGACTTGAAACACTCTAAAATGTGTAGAGGTGGCTTGATTCGGAGACAGAAACTTTATGTAGGTTTGACGATGTAGTATTCATCGTGTTTGAATGAGGCAATTTTAACCCATCCTGATAGAAGTCTTAAGGTTGATATCGGCAAGGCATGCATAGATATATAATTGCACTCACATACATACATATAGAAGCATTGGGAATAGAACAGACAGTGTAAAGATCCAATTTTGAGCCAAACTGCCAGGTCTAAGACTAAATCACCCAGAAAGTAGCCGTCTCGTCTCTCTACAATGAGCCCATCCATTTCAGAAGCAGAACTCATGGGCTATTGCTTCTTCGATTGTGATGCCAGATTATCCCGAGGAGGATATTCGGCATAGCTTCAAAGACAACTATGTAGATTTCCCACCTTAACGGTGCTCTAACCAGGTAAGGATCCCTTTATATGTACTCTCGTCGCAGTCTTTCCCATTTGCAATTTAGTGGGTTTCTGACCATATCTGCTTATGTCATCACCAGAAGCCCCTTGTATCGTGGGATTCTCGAAATCCACCAGCCCTTAATGGGTTATATAAATGCCATAATACGAGGAGATCGAAAGTGTCTTTTTGCGACCAGGTATTCGTGCCGAAATTTGTGTGCTCCGACAGGCACTTATGGACTTATTACCAACGTAGTCGATAGCACTCACTTCCAACGTCGATTTACCAGCAACATACAACACCCAGTGTCTTGAATTCCTTCGTGGCGCGCCTTTTCACGGCCTCAGTGACCTGGGGGGAAGAAGATCTATTGGGCTTCGGATCTTTGTCTCGAGTTACATCTGGAGTATTTCATTCTTACTTGAGTCTCATATAACTAAATAGGTGCTTACCATAGTCGAGCTCCTATTTAAGTAACTAAGCTGAACTTGGTGTACGCACACTACACGAGACAAGCTTTAGTGGCTCAAGCCATCTCCACGAGCCAAGGCGGGCACGGTCTTCGAATACCTCACGTAATGGATTCCCGTTCTCTGCCTATCTGGACCAAAAACCACTCCAGACTTCAAATTGTTTCTCGTCTTATATTAACCCCCATAACCAGAAGTAATCCCCAGTACGCTCTGTGTACACGAAAATTCATGCTCCCTAGTTATTCAAACTTGAGGCATATGAGACGATCACATAGTCGTTATGTACCTCACATGATTTTCCTTGACAAGGCAGCTTTAATAAAATGTTTCCTGCTCATATTGGCACATGACCAGCTCAGTATAACTTGTAGCACCTTCTCGGCACTACTAAGTAATGCAGATCGCTGCTTCACACCCGATCTTCCTCTAGAAAAGCTGTCTATATATATATACCTACACATCTATCTTGCACATGTAATCCTCTCGTCACCCGTAGAATCCTTGAATTTTGCCTTTTATTCTTCTTTTCTGACATTGGCATATCATGTCATGCTCTTTCTATGCTTGGTAAAGCCACATTAGATTATCTGGCTTAAAGACTACCCTGCCAAATGTGCAAATGAAAGAAGAAAGGAAAAGCCCTCATAAAGGGTAATATATGCTCGATGGTACTGATGATATAGCACCCTCTCCAAAAGGCGTTGTTTCCCCCATAACTCCCGTAGATGCACTGGCCAGGCCAGGTATACAAGCAAGAAGGCGCTGTCGTTAAACTCGTGTCTCCATCGAATACTGTCAATATTACCACATCTCCTCTTCCTTGTCATGCCGCTGCCCATTCTGATTACCGTATGAGTAATAGTCCTTGGCGCCACCATAGTCATCTCCATAGCCTCCATCTTGAATGTCATCCTTGCCATGATCGTAGTCATAGATCTCAGCAGCTTCAGGATAATCGCCCACATCGTGCTGCATGCTTGGATCTGAGTATTGGTTTGCTGACTGATGTGTGTCAGCATGTAGGAATGACGATGTACTTGAGGGGGAAGATCTTACTCGGTGATACTCAAAATTATAGCGATCAATACTATCTTGAGCATGCTGTTGCTCCAAGTACTGCTGCTCCTGTTCTCTTCGTTTCCTCTCTTCTTCTTGAAGTCTCTTTTGTTGGGGCGACTGTGGAACTTGGATCTGAGGGTGCATAGCTTGGACTTTCGCGAGGTAGGCATACATAAAGTTACTAAGCAGAACTTGGCTGTATAGTGCGCGCCTGGGATTCGCGAGCTTGAGATGTGCCATCCGGTAGATGGCTCTCTCTTCGAGGATCGGAAACCTGGTCCAGTGGTAGTCAACATCAGGCCGCAGAGGTCGGTAGGGGAGCGGTTCTGGTGACAACGGTCGCTGTAAGTGAGACTTCCTGCTGCCAGAATCTCTGTCGCCCTTCTTTTTGCTACTGCTGAAGAGAGACGAAAACAGACCATCCTTCTCTTTTTTCTGGTCTCCAGATTTTCGACTATTCTCTTTTCGTCTTTCCTCCTCTAACTTGCTGTCTATGCTGTCACGGTCAAGTAGTAGGCTCTCTCGTCCTTTGTGCAACGCAGTATCAATAGAGTTCTGTAGGACATCTAGTCGGACATTATCATGCGCCTTTTCAGCGAAAGCTTTGGTTTTGGACTTTCTGGTCTCGTCTTCTTTCTTCCTTTTTTCTTTATCGTCACTCTTGAACCATTTCCATGACGAACTTTTGGATAATCCGCCCTCTGAGCCATCCTTCTTGTTTCGTTTTTCGGGTTTCTTCTCTTCAGGCGAAGAGAAGGTGGGTATAAAAGTAAGAGTATCTGTTCTAGATGCACTGCCAGGTGCTAGAGATGGAGAGGTCTGAGCTGCATCATCGAAATTCTGGCTAGGTGCAGTGGGCGACCTTTGAGGTTGTGTGCTTGCATGAGTTAATTGCTGTTGCGATGAAATCTGCTTTATTTGATCATAATTTGGTCGTTTATTAGAACGGGAAGGAGGCTCAGATGGTACCCCAGATGCTTGTTGAGGTTTACTCTGGATCGCGCTGCGTTGTGAAGAAGACCGTTCGGGAAATGGCCTATTCGCATCGTAGCTTCTCGACGGTGCCTCTTCTTCAGCAGGTGGCGTCTCCAGAATTTGAGGGGTTGATGTTTGAGAGCGATCATTGTCGGAAGGAATGCGGTTGGATCCCGACGTGACGGGTCGGGACTGGCCTTGTTCTTGGATATTGCTGGACACATTTTGTTCATGTGTAGTTATCAAATCCTGACCAAACGGATGTTGTCTTCGAACAGATTTGGAAGGCCGTGAGAAATTTTCAAGTATTGGTTCTGACTGTACTCGCACCAAGCCGTGACCTGGAGGAGCATCTATAAATGATTCCGGGTTGGCCACGCTGGCAACGCTGGCCTCGATACCCTCGCCCTTTTTGGCGGCCATGCGCTGCGAAAAGGGCAGACGCTCGCCGTTTTTGAGAGATCCCTGCCTATTTCTTAAGCTCCCGCCTTTTCTATATGTCGTACGTGTTGACCGACGAAGACCGGCGCCTGGCGCCACAGGCAAAATAGGCATATCATCGGCATTAGCTGAACTATCGCCGCCTTGTGACTCAAGAGTAAGCTTCCGGACAGCCTTACTCGGGTCTTTCATGAGTTCGTCAAGGCTTAACTCTGGCACGCTGTGCTCGGATTGCCCCTGCTGCGACCGCTTTCTCTCCAATCTCTCGGCACCATCCACGTACCCGTCGACACCATAGCCGCTGCCATTCGCAACTTGTCTCGATAACATCGATTTCTTCCTCCTTAAGCTGCTAGAATCATTCCTTTCCAGGCCATCTGGAGAAAGAGAATTTTCGCTAGATCGTCTCTTCATAGATTGAACTCGTTTCTCAACAAAACTTTTGAATTCGCTTGGCGCCAGCTCTGGATGTACTCCTGCGGGAACCCATAAAAGCCTTGAAGGGTCAGCATCATCGTCTCCCTTTGGCGCAATAGAAGGCATGGCCACCAATGACATTCCTTGAAAGGGAAGCAAATCCGGATCACTATTGTTCGAGACATCCATAGATAGCCTGCGTAATGCTTGAAGATTACTCAATTCCTGCGCAATATCATTCGGATTATCTATGTTCGTGAGGGGAAATGAATCAGAACTATCGCGCATATCACGTAACGTCGGTGACATAGGTCCACTTGAAGATACGGGGCTCGTTGGGCTTCCGTTCGAGTTGGTTCTTGACAGATTCCCCCGGTTCTGGCTCTGCGTCGGCTGCGCCTGGGACCTGTTGGACGAGTTTCCTTGCAAAGAGCCAGTCTCACTTGAAGTGGAGCGTACGAGCCTGAGTCGGTGCTCTTCGGCAGGTGACAACTCGAGTTCACGGCGATCAGAAAGCTGTTCTCCGCCACGGGGCGCCGCGATGAAACTCAAGGGCCGCGAGTCACTGGTCTGATAATCATCGTCGTCACCATACATAGTGCCGATAGTCTCGGTGATGTGGTGGCTTGTATCAGATATGGAGAGTTGGTTGGCATGACCGCGTCGGCTCGCGAAGCTGCCACCACCCACATCGCGAACTCGTCGAGAGGTCTAGAATTAACAAAAGTAGTCAGCCTAAAATATTCCACTCCATGCAAAAAGCGTAGAACTAGCGGTTTTCGAGAGTTTACAAGTCTCTGGTGAGGCAACCAAGGGCATGGGCACATGGGACGTCTTTTGGGGGTCGATGTTGGGCTTGGAAGGCGGCGGAGCCGACGATGCCAATAACGGGCCTTACAAGGGGGGCGTACCATCATAGAGAGAGTTCGGCGACCTCAGCAGAGGTCAACTCCCCACGAGTCCCCTATTATTGTGTCGCGTTGCACGAGCAGGGTCCTGTGGAAGGATTTCGCAGGATGAGCATGGACGTTAAGCGGTGGGCTAGAAGAAGGGTTGGATTCTGTAGCTCGCAAGCAAATGTCTCGGAGCTAGGACTACACACTGGTTGGTGGACTGTCGAGGGCCGGGCCGGGAGGCTTGGAAGAAAAGTAAAGGCGTTGTGACGGGACCGGAGATGAAGATAGATGCGCGCGTGTGACGAGAAAAGGGGGGAGGCGCCCTGTCAGTTGGCTCGCTAAGTAGTCTGGGACCGAGTATAATGGGCTGGTCGGATTAGGCGTGCGTGATTCTGTACGTCGGTGAGGTCGTCAACGGATGGAGGGGAACGCAGACGGTGGCGAGGGAGGCGGCAAGTGGTGTGCAACAACAGAAGGACTTGTAAATAGAATTCATATTCCTCGTCTTCGCACCAATGGTCTTTTGCCAAGTCAAGTCGGTTGACAGGTAGCTGGCAGGGAGGTTGCCGGCAATGTGCTTCGATTAAGAACATACAACATAAGATCTTTGGTGAGACTACACTAAATCGACGGGCTACCCGGCAAGGTAGAGAGAGAGACAGCCAGCCAGCCAGAGAATGTAGATAGCTTCAGCAGCAGGAGGATTAGGGATTAAGATAGGATGCTGGGGACGGCATTAGTCGAGCATCCACCTCGCATCAGACCGACTTCTGGACGGACGGCGGGCTCTGACTTGGTCATGTCACCACCTCTTCCTTTCCTTCTCCAGGCAGAGTCCAGGGTTATCCAGGTGTACAACTATGTACTTACAGGGTATGTCTACAGGGTATGCCTACAGGGTAGGTGGACTAGTGCTAACTAGTGCTAGGTACATAAGGTGCCTTGAGAACCGCTATATTGTGCGAGTACATAGGGGTATGTACATGTAGCACTGTTTCCAGGCGTACTACCCGGGCAATCAGGCAAGAGGTACCTACCTAGCTCGCCTACTTAGGTACACTGCCCAGAACAAATCCAGCATGTGTTCAATGCAGTGAGCCATTCAAGCCCGAGCCGCCTTTGGCTGCAGTGGTTGTCGAGGGTTGTGTGTGCCAGCAGAAACTGCCTAGCGCGATTAGGCTCGCTAAAGCTGGTTTAAGTTAGCGGCATGTTATGCATCGGCAGCCATCCAATTTGCCCCTCATATCCCCCCAATTGGTTTAGCTCTTCTAAGTAAGTAGCGGAGGGTGGCCCCCTAAAAGGCTCTTTCAAGTACATTCAAGGGCCTCACACTGCAAGGTGACGACTTAGTATACTTCCTCACCTGGGCGGTGCCATCACGTGGGCTAAATTCCTCTTTTCCTGTTTTGTTCTTGACATTATCTTAGGACTCGAGCTACGAAATGCAGACATAGTGGTAGTACGGACAAGACGTTGAAGATGTGGGTTGGTGGTGTAGGGGCGAGAGATCACCAGCTACACAGCATACTATGTATAACACTCATGTCATATCGAGACCATTACTCAGGCAGAGAGTGACGCAGATGATACACCACATCCCATCTCTCATGTGCCTTTATCCTCTATCAAGACTAACACGCCACCATCTCGAGATGCAGCTGTGATGCAGGTCGGTTACTGAAAGAGACAGATCATCTAGACCGCCTACCCTTGCCTGCGTATTTTCGACATCCGATGTTCTTCAGCCCGTTTATCATGTTCTCATTCTTGTCCCGGCAAACAGGCTGCGAAGGCTTCGGGCTCGGGGTTGATCACGCACTGCATTATCTAAGCTGAGTTCAAGTGCGAACGGCTCGGTTCGAGCCTTATTCGTTACGTTCCAGGTTATGCCCTTATTCTGAACACGGACAGAAACAATGAGCAGACACACCATGCGACCCAGGGAACTACATAGTAGTTGTCTTCGTATTCTGTGCCGTGTCAGTATGTGCCCCAAAGATCCCCATAAGATCGACTTTGATCCCGCTTGAACGTAGCAGCTAACCTTACGTAAGTCTGTTCATCATCCTTCTCTGGGTTTATCGGGTAGGTACCTACTATTTCATAGCATCATGATACTGCATATACATACTATGTAGGCCATAGATCGTGGGGTCGAGCAGAGGTCGAGTATGCTCGAACTAGGTATCATTGAATGGGGAGATATATAAATTCTTCTCGACGAGCATAGGTCTTCAACACATACAGTACCTACGAAGTATGGTTCTGTCCATCAGAGCCTACCCCGCAACTGTCGATCAGCCGCCCTTCCAGATTCTCTTGTCTGTGCAGGGGAAGGAATCCTCCCCAATCACTGATTGAATTTGTGATAGCCAAGAACTGTACCGTAAGAGACCTCGCTTCGAGACGGGAATTAGTCATGTCTTGCCCTCCTCCTATTTACTTCATGGAAGGCCCATTCTCAACGAAGAGAAGTGCAAAACAAGTGGTTCGTTCTAGCAATCTCTGTTGTGATGCAGGTAAAGGGAGCGAACGGCGCGGACCAGAACTAGACGGGTCAGGCGAGATCCGGCCTGTCTCATGTGTCGAGTACCTACGGCATCTTGGCTTGCATTGCAGCGCATGCGTAGCCCACCAACCTATCCGATGTGGGTGGCGCCCTGAGCATCTGGCACTCCTAACGATGTTAGATCCATATGTTCAAACTAGGTAGGTTCTCTGCTCGACGAAGGCTACACTTGGTAAGTTCTCCTGTATGTCTCGGTCGCTGAAGTCTGGTATTACTTACCAGACTATTGAAAGAGGCCAGAGTACGCCATCATTGGCCATTCACGCTCGTCATGTTGTTGACAGTCTAGAGTAACCCCGCATATCGAATTTCCCTCTCATGCCTTATGATATGACCTGAGATTGCAGGAGACTCTCTTCCCCGGGGACAGATAAATACAAGACATGACTTACCAATTTGAGACCGGGCGCTGCCAGTCAGTGTGGTTGGAGCAGTAGAAAGGACATCAGGATCGTCTGGCGGAATGCGCGCCAAACTGGTCATCAGCCTCAGTAGCGAATTATAGTCAACGCTGGCCACTCGTTGTTCCTCAGCTATACAAGATGATCGGTGTGGTTTCCTGTGATTCACAATGTACGTCTAAATATCAGTTTATCCCAAGGACGGTGATTGAGCACATATAATTCGATATCTCGGCTCCCATATGGCGACCAGACGACCAGACTCGGAGATCAGGATAGTTCTTGTCGAGGGAGAATCCCCGCTGCATGTCTTAGGTACTGCTGTATGCACTTGTCATGCATATCGGATCGTTAACCAACGGAGAGGTTCATTTTAAATACTTACTATAGCACATGAAGGAGCCGGTGTTGTCATCAATAGCTTTCAGTCCTCGCTCAGTTTCCTGCTTTGTGTTATGGCTTCATCTATCTACATCACTCTGCTGACCTTGCTAACATGGCTTCTGAACAATACCCAGCGCACATTAGCTCAAAGTTGCTGGAGAGAGACTCCTTGCTCTAATATTACGCAGCCTGTCTACCCTGGTGAATGGGACGCCAATAACTTTGCGCCTGATTCGCGAAACGTGGCTCCTGTGGCTGTTTACAGTCTACAGAGCGGTCGGGAAATTGCAACCTGGCCAGCAGCTATTCCCATCAGCAGCAACACTTCTGGCGTCTACCTGGATTTCGGCAAGGAAGTAGGCGGTGTTATCACTATCAAGTTCTCGGTATATTCTGTCACTAAAAGACATTCCCGTGAACAAGGTTCCCTGGGCTTAGCTTTCTCGGAAGCGAAGAATTGGGTTGGCTATACCTCAGACTCAAGCAATGGCAACTACGCACGGCCGGACGATGCGATTTACGGCACGTTTTCCCGTACCGGGAACTTCACTTATGTTATGCCGATAGAGTATCTCCGAGGTGGATTTCGATACTTGACGTTATTCTTGTTAGGTGACGGCACTTCTATTATGATCCACAATGTTACCTTAGAGCTGTCGTTCCAGCCAACATGGTCCAATCTTCGGGCATATCAAGGCTACTTTCATAGTAACGATAATCTACTCAACAAGATATGGTATTCTGGCGCCTATACACTGCAACTGAATGCGATTTCTCCGTCCACCGGTAGAACTTGGCCCCCTCCTCGTGTTGCGTGGCAAAATGACGCCACTCTGGGCCCGGGGAATACGATCAACGTAGACGGCGCAAAGCGAGACAGGACTGTGTGGCCAGGAGATATGGGTGTGGCTGGTCCTGCTTCTTTCTACAGTACAGGGGATTTAGAGTAAAATCACTGCTCCTTATTGCTAAGCAAATACTAATTGTTATAGGAGCATAAGGAATTCACTACAGTCTTTGTATGATGGTCAGGTAACTAGTTTTCCATAGTCAACGTATGAATGCCTCACTAATTGACATTATATAGGCTGGGTCTGGTTTACTACCATTTTCGGGGAAACCTTTAAATGCTTCGGGAAGTGCTACCTATCACATGTAAGGTGTTCTGAATATTCACTTGATTCTCGTCTCTTATACCGGACAGGTGGACTATGATAGGTCTTTATAACTACGCCATTTTCTCCGGGGACGTGGAATTCGTCAAAATACAGTGGGAAAGATACGTTTTCGCAATGACCTTCATTCTTGCCCAAATCGACCCGGTTGTAGGTCTCGTGGACATTTCATTCTATCCTAACGACTGGGGCCGTTTCAAGTCATACGGGTACCTGGCGTCGGCTCAGATGCTTGCCTACCACACATTGACGACAGGTGCACTATTGGCAGAATGGGTAGGTGACACCACGGGCTTAAACAGAGTCTGGCTCCATATTGCTGCGGAACTTAAAGAAACCATCAATAAGAAGCTATGGGATACAGATGTTGGTGCCTTCAAGGATAACTATGGCCCCTACGATACGGGGCTGTATCCTCAAGACGGGAATTCACTTGCTATTCTCCTAGGCGTTGTGAAAGGAGCCGGAAAACAAGGACGGTCAATATCTTCCTGGCTGACAACGAACTGGAGAGCAATCGGCCCCGAGTCACCAGAGCTACCGGGCGAAGTATCTCCGTTTGTAACATCGTTCGAGATCCAAGCCCACTTTCTTGCTCGACAGCCTCAACGCGCCCTGGATCTAATACGAACGAGTTGGGGTTGGTATCTCAATAATGAAAATGGCACCCAGTCCACCATGATCGAAGGATATCTAATCGACGGCACATTTGGGTATCGCCACGACGCCGGCTACGAGGAAGTCTATTCTTACACATCGCATGCCCACGGATGGTCAACAGGACCTATCACGGCACTGACGGAACACACATTAGGTCTCAGTGTGACGGGATTAGGCGGTCAGACAATCCGATTTGCACCACAACTAGGGGATCTAAAGGATGTCCAGGGAGGATTTGTCACCAATTTTGGTAAATGCCATGCGAGATTGCGCCTGAATGAAACGACGGGTTGCACACTGGCCGAACTCGAGGTTCCAAAGGAGGCTACTACGGAGGTTATCCTACTCCCCGGAAAGTGCAGACCTGGACCATCTTCTTCTATCCAGCTCAACGGTAAATACGTGGAAATGGGAAAGCTCGATATATTGGATGGGTCAGGGGATGCGAAGTTGTACTCTATGACCTTGCCCGGGGGTAAGCACGTATTCGAGTATTAAATTGTCAGGCTAGTTGTACGCAGACACGTCAGGCAATGCGATATCCCAGCAAATAAAGGGAGCTGCCTCTGTAGTATGATTAATGACGCATCTGAATCTATCGTTATATTGATGGTCCCTAATGCTCGTGATATCTTGTCACAGTTCTACAGCTGTGAAGCAGCACACATTACCAACTTACATCAGCCGTCCTGCTTGAACCGTAGCTCTCTATTATCGAGCAAAGCTGATTGAATTCTGAGACAGTGTTTACGACTTGACTTTGCTTATCCCCATTCGATTTATTATTGATCTACTGCGACCACATCTCGTATACAATTCGAGCAACTTCTTCAGGCTGCTTCCGCACAACACCATGACCAGCCTCTTTGACAACCTCAACATTGGTAAACCCAAGGTCGGTCAACTTGTCCTTGCTGCAGACGTTGTCTGTCTCACCTAGAACGACAACCTGCTTCAGAGGCAACTGCGCAAATCTACGGAAATAGTCCTCGGTTCCATATGTATTGCCCTCACGAAACATGCTGAAGACACTATGCCGATGACCTGGGTGCTCCTTGAGCTCCCAGTCTTGAAAGGCCTCAGGAACGGCCTCTCCGCGCCCAATGCGCTCCCGCCAATCATCAGGCACCACAGGGCTGCCGCCCCCAAGTAATTCAAACACGGCATCTTTCGCCTCGGCCTCCCTACCGCTCGAGTCGCGCAGCAAGTCCCGCGTGCGCTCGCTGAACAGCTCGGGACCAATCACGCCCGCAGGCGCAAGGAGTGCGACGGAATCCACAGCACGCCGGTTGTACACGGCGAACTTGACCAGCATTGAGGCCCCGAAGGAATACCCCAGGAGATGTGCGGAAGTCCACTGCTTGAACGCCAGCACTTGGAAGATCTGGCTGTGGAAGATGTGCGCCGTATGCGCGACTAGCGGTGTGGACGAGAGGCCGTGACCCCAGAGATCGAAGAACACGACGTGAGCGTCTGGGTCGAGTCTTTGCAGCGCTTTCGCCAGAGGGAGCAGGCCGAGCGCGGGCGTGTTCAGCCCGTGGACCAGCAGCACACGGCGTTTGGCATCACCAGATGGAGCGGCGATGTCGTAGACGGCGGTGGTCCCGAGATCGGACTCGAGGAACTCCGGCGCCGGGTACACATTCCCGAAGCGTGATGTGAATGATTCTAGACTTGGCGCTGCGAGGAAGTTGTTGGGCTCCCGAATTAGCTTTCGTGGGAGCTCGATGTTTTCTATGTTTGAGTCTGACATTTTGCTGTGCCTCGATCGAGTGTTTAAAAGAGATGTCTATTGCATCCTAAGGCGAACTAAGCAACTTATAGAAATTGGCCGCGACCCTCTTTAGTGTACCCTAGATACGATGCGTGTCAGCGCCATCGCATATCCAAATGTCACCATATATAAGTCATCATATCCATTTTTTAATATCACAATTTCGTATTACACTATAGCGATATAAGAATTGTTACATATCGGATAAAGCATCATCGAGATAATAGCCCTTCTCATTTTGGGCTCGATTGAGGCTATGAAATGTGAGCAAACCCAAAGAGTAAAATCGAAAGATGAGCTTACTTACACCATGGCAACCTCTCAGTCTCGCAGGGTAGCTTTCGCGAGTAGGTATTGCTGACGCCAGCGTTTTCTAGGATATCTGAATATGAATTAAGGGACGACTATTGAGACTAGGAGGTTTGTAAGCAGCGGAGAATCAGCGGCCATATCGTCTAAGTGTTATCAAGCATCATACATCCTGGAAGCAGTTGGTCACGATTTGACACGATGGGATCACTATGCCTGTGCTGTGGTGGTATTGATATAGCAACGGTCGGCCGGACATGACGTATGTATATTCGTGGATCAATCTGTGTATATGTGTACCAGGAGTGACGATCCACTTTCACAAAATCTTGAAATATTCTCGCGGAATCGATGTCCCTAACATGATGATTAAATCCAGACTATTCAAGTCTATTTGTAAATAGAGCAACTATGAATAGTGGCGTCGTCACAGTGTGGAGTGTGCATGGCCATTTTGTAGGAATATTTGTGTCTGTCCAACCACTTCCTAGGAATATTTATGCTATATACAAAAAGCGCAATGGCGAGGTTATCATGGCTGATGAATTCACGTCAGCACGCCGTGCAACCACCACCACCCCCGTCACGAACTTCACGCTTTTATCTCTGCCCGGCCGTCAGGCAGAACCAGTTCTCGCTTCTCGAAGAGCGTTCTGAAGTTTTGCTGCTTGATAAACCACGCGTTGACCGTCTTCCACTCTTGGCTCGGGTCCTTGAAGCGGATCTAGTGTGTTCTGTCAGAGATCGGTGTCTACGCATTCCACCCAAAACGATGGACATGAAATGTTTAGGGCGAGGAAATGTGTACGATGAGGTGAACAGAGGGCAAAGAGAGCAACTCACCTCAAACCTCCTTAACAAGCTCGGCACAACCTTGTACATCTCCAACAAGCTAATGTTCTTGCCGATACACGTCCGGGCACCCATGCCAAACTGGAACATATGCCCGTTCATTTCGCGTATCCGCCGTTCCCTCTCTTCCCTCTGTGCCTCGGGTAGTGACTCGTCGACGAGCCATCTCCCAGGCCTGTAAACGTCAACGTCGTCGCCGAAGATCTCAGGGCGGCGATGTATGAGCCACGCAGAGCAGCCGACGATAGTGCCTCCGTTTACGTAATGGCCGGCGATCTCGACACCGGGCTCCGGTACGATGCGCTCGAGCGGCAGTCCCGCGGCCGGGTACATGCGGAAGGCCTCCTTAATACAGGCATCAAGGTACGGGAGACGCTGGCTCTCTGCCCACGTCACAATACCCAACTCATAGTCCGCGAAAGCGCCCGCCCGCGCTGCGTCGTCAATCTCCGTGCGCAGTCGTGCCAGAATATCCGGATTACGAAGGAGGTTGTAGAAGACGGCGGAGAGCGAGATGGCCGTGGTCTCGGACCCCGCGAACGCCATCGACACAGCCATAGCAAGCACCAGCTTGTCATTCATGAACTCGGGTCGCGAGTCGCGCGCAGCGAGGAACTTGGACAAGAGGTCCGGCGATGCTGCTCCGCCAGCCTGCAATTTCGCTGTGTCTGTAATGGGAAGCAAGGGCTTGCCAGCATCATTCTCGACCATACCTAGACGCTCAGCCATACGGGCTCGTGCAAACAGCACGATGGGGTTCGTGGCGTCCACAAAGCCCCATTCCGAGAGTTTGAGGTAGATGGGGTTCTTGAGAAACAACCGGTCTAGCCAGGGGATCTGGCCGACCTAAAACTCAAGATCAAGTAGGTCAGCCTTGAAGGATTGGATATGGTATGCGTAGTGTGTAGTAAAAAATTGATATAGAAGTATATAGACTTACTGGGGCGACGTAGAGGAACAGGTTCCCCAGGTAGTTGACGATACCATCGACATCCTCGTTCCTCTCCAAGAAGCCGTGACGCTTGCTATACGTGACCTCGCCGATGACATCGAATGCGTAGAACTGTAGCCATCTCACGAAGTCGCATCCGTCGACATTGTTGACATAGAGGCGCTCGGTTTGCTCGAAAAATAGCTTTATAGTGTTGGTCACGAAAGGCTCGTATTGCACCAAGGCCGACATGGAGAAGGCCGAGTTCACACAGCGGCGGAGCTGGGCGTGAAAGGTGTTATCCGTCGTGCTGAAGAGCGTCGCAAGACCACCTCCTTTCGAAACCCCTTGCTGGACAATATAGAAATCCGACTGGGTTGTAGGTCAGTTATAGAACCTCGAAGGAAACTGTAGAGATTACGAACCTTGATGAATCCCTTGTTAAGTCCATAAATAGTCTTTAACGCCTTCGGGTCCGCAAACGACAGAGTATTCGGACCTAAGCGCACCACGTCGCCGTACTGGGCGTGGAGTTTGCGATTTGTCACCTCGAACTGGCGGCCCCATACCTCGCATAATCGCCAGATATCCGTCAACGAGGCCATGAACGGCCCGGGGTACTTGTTCAGCCCATTATGATATCGGTTTCGTATCAGCCATGCCGCGGTAACTACAGCCAGTCCCAACGCCCAGTAGTGAGCAATGAAGCTTAGAGCCATTGACCTCTCGATCTCCATTCTTCTCAGTGTATGTTATAGTCTACCGGCTATTATGTCTTTCTGGCCAGTTATTTCGGAGAGTTTCGGTTGTGTCGGCTTAGCTAAGCGTCGAAGAGACACTCGGAGCATGAAACTCTCAATATGGCCGAGTTCAGAAGCCAATGAGTTTCTGTAGAATTAAAAGCCTAATGTGATGCTCAATGCTTGACCGAGAGCGAGACTGAAAAGGGAGGCGAGAGTGGCCGTCTGTCTCAAGGTCATCAACACCAATAAACTGAGGGCTTCTCAATGAAAGCGAATAAACTCGGGGCAGCTGATTTCTCAATTGATGAAGTATACGTTACAGACTGTATATACTTAGCTAATCGGTAAATGCGGCTGCTCTCGAAGTTATTACTTCTGCCAATACCTATAAGCTTATCCAAAGGGTTCCCTCTCGGTAGCAACTTGGAAAGATTAGGCCTATCATAAGCGATAGGTTCAAAGTCCGCCGGGCCATCTTATAAGAAAATTGTTTCGGTCTCTCTCAATGCCTATTGGGAGGATAGTATTACATGGTGAAAGCGGCTGGGGGCCGAGGGATCGTCTTGGACCCATCTTCGGCGCGCGAAATCGTCAAGTTGCTGACTCCTTCAACGGCAGTAAAGCTCAAAGAAACTGCAACAAGCGCGCGGATGAATCGCCTCTTGTGTATATTATTTGCCGGTAGACGCAAGGCAGCCAGGTATGTGACATGCTGCTCCTCTCCTGCAAGAGCCAAGAGGTCGTCATCGAGAGTAGCTCCCCGAATACGCGAGGGTTCCCCTCACCCTCTTCCGCGGCATCTCGCCCGGTTCCCCTCATAGTTCGCATGTTTGTTTGGGCGGGTTCACGGGTAACGACTTCACTGGCAACGGGATTACCTGGTGGCTCAATGGTCGTTGAAGCTACGGGAAAATATCGTTTGATTGCCAAGGCAATCAAGGTGGGTTCTGAGGAGATAGAGCTGAGACGAGCTGTTAGGGTATATTCGGCAGATGTCTCGTCCACTAACCTGGGGCCGGCGTGATTGGACTGGAAAAACGAGCACTATGAGACGACGATGCTATTGGGCGATGGGCTGAGCGATCGCTGCAGGACCATGCCTGGTTACGCAGCGGCGTCGCCAGGGGTGTGTTAATTGGGTTGGGGTAGGGTGGCACATCTGCACTGTCTGCTCCTTTGGGATATGTCATCTCTTGTTTTCGACTTCACTGAACTCCCGTAAGGAGAAGGAGAGTTATGACATTCATTACGGACACGAGCTTTAACCTGTCATCGTTGCCACGAGCCATCATCCGACCACGCTGCTGTAAGGTCGCCGACTACTTCACGCAATTGCTTACTACCTTGGGTAGTTCATATGTAAAGTGACCCGCTTGAACATCATGATAACACAGCTTATCTGGATTGACCAAGTGCCTATCTGTCTGTGACCGTTGCCAGACCTCGCGCATGCACGTATCCCTGGTGGGTGACGCAAGATTCTAACCTGGTATCATAAACTTCACGTTCCTGGGAGATGCGGTCTCACCTATAGCGAGTCATTTGTATGTGCTAGCAGAAGCCACCGGGTTTTATGGCGTCCGAATGCGACGTGACTCGAGCAGGCTCAGAACACACAAGCGATGTGTGAAGAGAGCATGCCACAACGAGTGACTAAGACGCTGATCGAACTAACAGTCGGTCAAACTGGGTAATTGGGAGGGTTAAGTGCCGACCGGTGGACCCGAAGGACATAACATGTGCTCGTAAGTTTCGCTCATTCGGCTCGTAGTGCCGGCGTGGTCGGGTGGTTGGAGAGCTCGGCAGATGTTTGATGTCTAAAGGTCTCATACAAACACTGCCAATCCATGGTCGTTGCCACGTGTCGCCTACCTCTGGCCTTTTTTATACGAGACTCGGGACTTTTATTTTGTTTTAATTTCATATTTCCCTTCCTTTTTAAGGAACTCTCGCATAGTGCTGTGAAGTGTGCCCTGCTTTGTATAGTCATAAACTCCCGAGAAGTCTACAAAACTCTCGTTCTGACGATACCCGTACGATCGCATAATCATTTGTTTCCCTCCTCTTTTCCCGTATCTGCCTCACCAACTCTCAATTCTGCACAACATCGTGACATCTTATCTGTTTATCAGTTCCTGGACACGGTTCACATCATCAGCATCTAGATACCTGCAAACGCGTTGTTCCGGATCCCATTATATTTTTTGTGACTTGCCGTAATCTCTTGCCATGTTATGTACTTCAGAACTTACGTACTAGTGAAAGTCTGTGTTACCCGAATAGCTACCGGCGCTGTATCGTTGTACATCTCTTATTGTGACGACCAGGGTGATTGATTTGTAAGTGTGCAAGAAGCGTAGATACCGTCTGTGATCTCACCCCAAGACAATATTAATTCTTTATATATCAGAGAGCGGGATATAAGACGAAATAATGGGAGAGGTAAAGGGACACATCTACAGTACTTAAGCATCACCGATATCACGAGTGCAACCCGTGCGCCGCAAATCATCAGCCTAGTCGCCCCAAAACGTGTAGAAAGACATATAATGATTGGACTAGAAGTTATGCGCCATGCCCGGCAACGGGTAGTGCGAAATGGGACATAAATTGAAGCCCCAGCCAGTTAAGAAATCGTAGATTTGCTTATGTTAATTATTCATGACCCATTACATGAAACTACAGAACATAGATTGAGCAAGTTAGACATCGGAAGCAAGGCTCTCGTCAAATGTGAAAACATCAGATTGACGCAGGGTTCCTCACCAGGACCAGCGCCTCTGACAGCTCAGAACAGATCAGGATTATCAGAAGAACTATAGCTATAGCAAAGTTCACTGGCATCTGCCGTGACAAGGCCAATGCCAACGATATGCTCGCAAGCCCAGCCCTAGTTGTAAGTAGGATTAAATTAGTAGTTGTCATCTAATCTATAATTCCCTTTCGCCTTACCATTCCAACGCTTTGCAACACTGAAAGCTAGTCATTCCAACGTAACCCAATTTCTCTTCGATGAGGAGAACCAAAGCTGTAGCAAGACTCCTCAAAGACTTGTAAAATTGAATTAAAGATACAGGAATCACTAGAAGCAACCCACTAAACCAACATCAGGACACTACGAAAAAGGGGCTCAAAGAATATCCATATGCTTATCAGTAAAGGTCCTTACCTCAGCTTTCAAGCATTTGCCTGCTCGACCGTCGCGCTCGGGGACCAACTAACGATTTTCCTCCTCTCATCCTATACACCAAATATCATTGCGCAGCATGTTCGTCAAGCACAGAATCATGCCGCATGCTGTCGGGACGCGGCTTGTGTCTCGTCTACAGCTGAACATGCGGCCCCACACAGCTTCACGAAATGATTCTGGATCTGTGCCTGCATAATATCTGGAAATGCGCAGCTGTTGGCGATTGCTATTGATCCGCATTTTCGTCACCATTGACACGCTTCGGCACCGGTTTTTTTCCTTTTTCATCGGACCAGTTTAGCAGTCATTTCTTTCACCTTGATTATTCAATTAAGTGCCCCATGTTTCTAGAGGGTGACTTAATACAATTATCTCAGGCGTCTACTCACTCGCCTACCCTAAAGCGACTTTCAGGAAATTGGGTTATTCTGTGGGGAAGATATAACACCTGGGTGAACCTCCGCCACGTTTCCTTGATAAACTCAATGGATAAACACGGATTCCCGTTGGAGCAAGCGATTCGACATCGGATATCAATAACAAGAAGCTATCCCAGCCGCGTGATCAAGAATCCCAACAAGACCAAACAATCAAGACGTGGTCATATAAAAATGAACAGTATTCCATTTGTTTAAGACGGTATGCATCAAGGTGTCAAATTATATAGAGCTAGAAGTGGGTATCGTCAATTATCGACAAAAAAAGGAGCAAAACCAATGTATCCAACCGGATCTTGGTAGTAGCCGCAGTGATCAGCAAATCCCTTGCCTAAGTACGCTACATACATTGATTCCCAAAATTTGGCATCTCACAATTTACCTCCTGGCCTAGCAACATAGCCCACACATAACAACCACCACACACCTGAGGAGTAAGTCTCAAGCTTAGTTAGCTGGGGAACTAGGAGAATATCGATACACAAGCTGGCCGCAAGTACAGTTGATTTTTCAATGAGCTGAACCATAGTGAGTTGTGTAGAGAGAAAGGATGAAGCCTAATGGAAGGGGATGAACTGAATTCCTCAAGTTGACACCAACAAAGATCTCCAACATCGTCGTTAAATAATACATCCATTAAGAGGCTTCCCTCGCATCGGTCAAAGATTTGAGCATGCTACATGTAACAAATTAGTTTCAAAAACCTCTCATATTCTTCGCGAACAGCCCCAGACTGCTGACTGGTCCATAGCATAGGTCTTACGTACCGTAGGTTACGGTCCCTCATATCGTTGTCAATAGACTGGAGGCCGTTGAGGGAAAGATTAGCCTGAGCCAGCTAATAGAAAATATAAGTCAGCAATTATCCCTTGGTGCTCGTTAGGGATAAACTAGGGATGCGCATATGTTGCAGCTTGCAACTAAGGGGTGAAGATGAGGGTTTGCGCACCGCGCTTATCGCTACCGATGAATGATCTGGCTCCTCACCTGCAGCCCCTGAGGATTCTGATTCCGCACCGTCCTCGTCCGCCGTGCCGTTGGCGTCATCAGTAGCAAACCGACTGGCCGAAAGTCCCTTTTTGCCTGGAGCTGCCGCGGCGTTTGCCTACTTCTTATTAATTGTTTTGCTCACGGCCTATATGGATGTGGATGGAAAGCGGGCACACGTACCTTGATCTCTGTAATCTCGGCATCTTTGACCTTGAGTTGTGCTTCCATCTCTGCAAATCTAGATTTTATATCACTGGCTTCTTTCTCCGCTGCTGCCCTCTTCTTTTGCTCCTCTTCAACCATATTCGTGAAATTCTCATACATATCCTTATAATCCGCTTCTTGACTCTTGATCTTTGCTGCTGTGTCATTCTGATGTGCTTCAAGATCTTTCTGTGCGATGAGCATATCTTCTTTCGCGGCGTCCAGTTGTGACTTCAAAGACTCCACATCGCTGTTCTTAGCATTGAGGTCATTGTGCAGAGTTTTCAAGTCATCCGCAACCTTTGCTGACGAAGCTTCCGACTGAGAGACCGCGTCGGCATGCGTCTTCTTCAATTCCTCCAGTTCTGCTCTTAGGGCATCGGCGACAGACGTGTCAGGCTTCTGGCTTTTGACAGCATCAAGTTCAGCCATTAGTTCAACATTCTGCATTTTAGCTTCTGCAAGCTGCTGATGGAGTTCTCCAGCTTCATCCTGTGCTTTCGAAAGAGACTCATCGTTCTTCGACTTAGCATTGGCGAGTTCCGCCTGTAAGCCTTCGGCTTCGGATTGGGCCTTTGCTAAAGCTTCCTTCGTAGCAACTAAAGAAGCTTCTAGATCTGAAATAGAATCCTGGTGCTGCGTGGTGGCTGAAGTTGCAGTAGCAAGTTTGCTTTCATATTCCTTAGCAAGGGCTTCAATGGCAGCTGCATGCTGAGCTTCGAGCGCTTCGACCATTTGCTTCTGCGCAGAAGATGCTTCGTTCTTCGCCGCCTCTGCTGCCTCAGACTGCATGGCCAGTACTTTCTCGATTTCGGTCGAAAGGTTAGTTTCGTGGTTCTTTGTCAGTTCCTCAATAACCTGAGCATGCTTGACTTCGAGTGCGTCAATGGCGCTCTTGTGTGAAGTCAATGCATCACTTTTGGCGGCTTCAACAGCTTCCAATTGCATTGTAATTAACTTCTCTACCTCAGCCGAGTGCGCATCATCACTTTCCTTTTTAAGGGCCTCGACATTGGCTGAATGGACTTCTCTCGCTTTTCCGAGTTCCGCCTGTGCATCCTCAACCGCTTGCTTCATGGCCTCTAGTTGAGTCTTCACAGCGCCGTCATCTGCTTGCTTGTTTAAGAGCTCTTGAGCGTGAGCAGCCTTTAGTTCCGCGATAGCTGTTTCGGCCTCCGCTTTCTGAGCGGCCACCACATCCGCATGGTCTGCCTTTAAAGCTTCTGCTCGAGCTATGATCTCTTCCGCGTGGGTTGCTTTCAGCGCTTCTGACTCTTCACTTTTGCCTTTGATTTCATCAGCATGTGCTACTTTCAACGACTCGATTTGACGCTCTAGATCTTGGGCATGAGCCGCTCTCAAGGCTTCTAGCTCAGCAGACAAAGTGGCATCACTCTCAGCCTTAGTGATCTCAATTTGTTTTGCATGGCTAGCCTTGAGTGCCTCAAGCGCCTCAAGGTGAGAGGCTTGATCAGCAGAAACACCGCTCTTGGCACTCTCCAGCTCCATGGCATGGTTAGCCTGCAGGGCGTCTAGAGCTCGCTGATGCTCTTCTTCTTTCTCTGTCAAGGCGTTGACAGCTGCTACATGTTCAACTTTGATAGCTTCTAGCTCTTCAGTGTGTGCCTTGCTTGCGTCCTTGTGAGTGCCAGTCAGTTCGTCGAATTTTGTTTGGAGCTCCGTGTGCTCTTCCTCAAGGACATGGAACTGGCGTTTGAAAAATGCATCACCTTTGAGACTCTCAATCTCATCTTCATAATCTTTGGATACTAGTCTCAACTGATTCTCGTGTGTCTCCATAGAAGTTTTGTGTTCCTGTTTTAATTTTTCATATCTTTCTTCCATTTCTTTGATTTGGTCTGCGAGGGCAGAGCTGGACGACACATCGGTCTTAGCTTGGGCAAGTTCTTGCTGCATGTTCGTGAAGTCTGACTTGAACGCGGCCAGTTCCTCTTTCGTAGCATCGGCAAGAGCCACAGATTCCGCCAATTTTGTCTTCAATTCTTCGACTTCAGCCTGGGCCTCGGCAAGGGCTACCTTGTCTTGTTCTGAACTCGCTTTCAGTGCCGCGAGTTCTGCCTCTAGAGTGGAAATCTTAGAAGTGTCGGCTGTCTCTGTATTTTCTCTTGATGAGTTCAGCTCATCAATTTGGCTTTGGAGGGCTTCGTTCGCGACTTTCAAATCCTCAAGTGCCTTTTCATAATCGCTGGAAGACGCTTTTCCCTGCTCAAGCTCAGTAGCGTGTGCTGCTTTTAGGGCTTCAATAGACTGCTGCTGCTCCTCTAAGGTTTTTTGTAGACTCTCTATTTTAGCAGCATGTTCCTCTGCAGCCTGAGCCAATGCCGTTTCCAGATCCTTAGAGCTAGCATCTTTACCGAGCTCAAGAGATTCGAGTTTAGCCTGTAGTTCACCAATTGAGGTATCCTTCGCATCCTGGGTGCTTGACAATTCAGTCAGCTGAGCTTTATGTGCGTCGAGCTCTTCCTCTGCAGTCTTTAATTTTGCAAGAGCTTCAGAGACTTGTGTATTAAGTGCCTCTTTCTCAGTCGCATGGGTAGCTTTCAGGCTCTCTAGAAGCTCTTCTTGACCTTGTTGAACAGTTTCCTGTGCATCTTGCACGCTGTCAGCCCCGGCGCTGATCTTGGCTTCCAGCTCGGCTATCTTCTCCTCAGATGCGGATACCTGCTCCTTTAGAGCACCAACCTCGGTTTCTTTCTCTGCTAATTTCGTTTTCAGCTCATCGACCTCTTTTGTAACTGTTCCTGAGCTAGAAGTTGAAGGACGTGAGGCATGCCTAGCCGTTGTCGAACCGATAGGAGAACCAGTTACCGATGAAAGGCGTTTTTTCGCATCGGAGACAACACCAGTGGCGCTCGTCCTCCTAGTCGAAGTTGTAGTTGCAGCTGCGCGAGAATTGGCAGTGCCAGTGGGGGCTGCCGTCCGAGTCACTGTAGTTCGAGGCGTAACACTGCTTGTCGCACTACCAGGTTTCCTGGCTGTAGACGTAGTAGACGCTGTGGTAGGTCTTGTAGCTGTTTTAGATGGTGACGAGGTTAGTCCACCCGGAACAACTGAGGAACGTCGTGCAGCGGAGGTCATAGTTGGTCTCTTCTTGTCATCCTCTGATACAGAGGGCTGTGACCTATGTGTTGTGGTCGATGTAGCGACTGCGGGTTTCCTGACAGTTGATCCCGTCGGAGGACGTGTGGGCGGCTTGTTGAGGGTGCTTCCAGCTCGTGCCGCGGCACTTGTAGCTGTCTTAGTCGCGGTGGCGCCGGTAGCGCCAGGCCGACGAGTGGTGGATGTCGTAGCGCTCGGTCTCTTGACGGGTGTTGAACCTGCGGTTTTCGTGGATGAGGCGGGCGACTTTGTCGCAGTCTTAGGCGATGCATTGGCCGTCTCCTCACCCGAGAGGATGGACTCGTCGTGCTGGACGACCTCGAAGCCTTCGGTATCGGACATGATGATAATGGCCCACAGAGCACGGGCAACTATAATGATGCCGATTCGCGTCGGTGGCAAGTGATGAGTTTAGGAGTATTCAATGGTACTAAGAATCAACCTCCAAGTCAGCTACTTGGAGGTAGGGATGATTTGCAGAGCCTGGCTGACAGCAATTGATGGACAAGGCCAGGCAGTGGGGGTTGAAGAAAGAGAGCGAGATCCAAAAGGTAAGGCGCATGAATCCAGGACAGATCCAGGGGTATGCAAGTTATATCGCCAAACAGATATGATGATGCACGTTGAGACACGTCACAAAGGGGGGTTTCCTTGTGAGATGGAACAGTGGGCTTGATTTGGTTTGTCACTGACCTGTCAGAGCTCCCGGATCTCCAAGCTCCCTTACTTTGCTGTCCCCTGGAGCCGAAGATGTGTTGCTATAGGCGCTTCGTCTGGGATGATCGAGATGTAGGTACAAGAGCTCCCAAAAATACACTGCACAGTTGCGAGGGCGTCAAAGTCGACGCCAGTAACGAAACACGGCAGAAGGCGCAGATTGATAGCAGGGCGACTATTTACAAGGACCAAGCTGGAAGCTGGGAGAGACAGAGGGAAAGAGAAAAGGAGATATCACGTATCACAGCGAGTTTTGCTCTCATCAAAAAAGAATGTCACCACATCGGAGTCAAGCTGGCCGGGGAGATTGGGGACTGGCCCTGAGCCGGGCGCCAGAGAGTAGGCTGGCCCACAGACGTTCGAAACATAGTGGAAGCTAAGCCGTGTTAGGCCATTTACCAAGTCTAAAGCGGGACCAGGGTAGTAATAGCGTGGTGTTTGGTACCCTCTTAAGCCATTGACGGTCTAGCGCGAGAGCCCTGAGTTTAATTACATACCTGCACATGCGAGCATGTAACGGATCGTACCTTATGGTACCTACCATGTATGTAAGTACCTACATACTTACCTTACCGCCCCGGGGGGGGGGGTATACGTAAGGGTCACAGCAAGGGTGTATAGTATAGTATTGATTACTGCTATAGTCTCCATATAGTAATAGTATTATAGTAATAGTCTTAAATATATAAAGGTTTAATTATTTAATATATTAATTATGCTATAGCTATTTTTAATAGAAGACAGTGTTTATAATGAATTATATATAATGCTAATAAGTATTTTTTATTAGTAAACAATATTAAAATAATACTATATCGGGATTGAAATTATATTAAAATAAACACTATATTAAAACTTATTAGTAAACGAATTTTTTTATAGTCTTTTAACTTAATATAAGTTTTAATAGCAAAATACTTTTTAAAAGTATTATAAGCTACAATTAAATTGCTATAATTATTTTATTCTTAATACCCTTTTCCTACCTTACTATTTTAAATTTCCTCTATTGATATATTTAAAAGGTTGTTAAACAACTTTAAGAATAACAATTTAAAGCAGTAAAATAAGGCTAAAGATAATATTTAAGTAATATATATTATTATTTTACTTGCTATAATTAAATAGCTTTATATATATTTTGTTTAAAAGGGCTTTTTTAAATTAATAATATATATAAAACTATAATTTTGTAGCAATTAATTAAGCGCCATTTTTTAATTGGACAAATGTTAAATAGCATTAAGGCTAACGTATTAATTTTTTTATAATAGTATATAAGGGGGCTATATAACATTTAATTATAATATATATCCTACATTTATTAAATTATAATATAATATTAAGCTTTAATCCATTATTATAAAATTAATTATATATTATTAGCAGTTATAAGTTAACGGTGAATATCTTTTTTAAATTTAAAGGTATTTAAATATTTATCCTTAAAGATATTTTAAACTACCTAAACTATTAACCATAACCCTAATCCTATTAAAAATCATCGTATAAGTCTGAAGTATATTTATATCTAAAAGCTAAGCTATTATTTTCCATAAATAATATATCGCTTACTCTTAATTCCTAATAATTAAAAAATATAATTTTTTATAACTTAATTTTAAAAGATTATATATTTTTTATAATTCCAAATGTTTAGTAATATATTTATATAAAAAAGAAGAAGTTAAATATTAATAAAGAAATTATTAAAAAGAATAAAAGCTAGAACTTTTAAAGATATCTTTTTAAATTATTTTTAAAAATATTAACTATAAAAATCAAACGATCGATTATTATTAAGATATTTATTAAGGAAGTTAGCTAGGTTTATATTACTATTAACTATTATATCTATATAAATTATAACTATATTTATAAGATTAATGCTATTATTATTACTATTTTTATAAGCATTTAATAAATAATTATAAGATAGGTAAAACATTTAGTTTATAATAGTAGCCAGTAAAAAGTATTGCTTATTATTTTTATAAAGCTTATTGCCTATATAATATTTATACTACTATATAATAGTTCTAATAATAAATACCTTAATAATATATTTGATTATTAATTAAAAGTTATAAAGATCTTTATTATTGTTTACCTTTATTATATACTTTATTATATTTTTAATAAAAAGATTTTAGCATATATAGTAATACTCTTTAAAACTGGAAAAGAAATCTACTAGCTAATATAACAAGCTTATAAAGTGCATTTTAATATATATCTTATTAAGGAAGTTATTAATAATAAGCCTAATAGTAGTATTAACTTTATAATTATTAAATAACTTTATAATCTTCTTAAAACTAATCCCATCTTTATTAAAAAAATATAATAAATTAGATTTATATAAATCTTAATTATTATTATAATTAAAAAGCTCCTTTATATTATTATAATTATTATTATTACCTATTTAAATTTTAACTTTACTATAAAATATTTAAGTTAATAATAATATAATATATGCTTAATCTTTTTAGCTTAAAAAGCGTTTAAAAGTTTATCTTTAATTTAGCGTTTCCTTTTACCCTTCTTTTTATTAAAGCTAAATATTAATATAATATTATTATTATTATTGTTAATATTATTTACTTACTTTTTACTTTTTTTAATATCTTTAATAAACTTTTTATACTCTTTTATAGTAATAAGAATAATAATTATTTTAATTTTATTTAATTCCTTAATACCGTTAAATTTTATATACTTATTATAAATATATCTATTATAGGAAATCGTATCTTAAATAGTTTAGTATTATAATATATATACTTTTAAATATGCCTTATTAAACTCTTTTAACTTCTTTTAAAACTGCTTTAAAAATTTATTTTTATAATAGGTAAGTAAGGTATTAAAATAGGCAAGATATTAAACTGTTAAAGGTATATATTATTTAAAGCCTTTAAAAGCTTTATAAACGCTAGCTTTAAATAATTAGTTTATTATATTAATATAATTACTATAATTTACCATTTTAAAATATAATTTAGTAATATTATAATACTTAGAATATTAATATTATTTAAGCTTTATTACTTATTAATTAGCTATTTTATTATTTAATATCCTATAGTTAAATAAAAATATATTAATAATATATTTAGCTTAAAGTACTATTATAAAATTATTTTTAAAATATATATTATTTATTAAAAGCAACTTATAATATATAATAGTAAGAATGCTAATTGGTAACCTTATATAGGGTAAACCTTTATTACATATAATATAGTTTTAATAATAATAAATAAATAAATCAAAGCAGTTATAATAAAATATAAGTAATTTAATTAAATAAGGCCTAACTTATAATATTATATTAAATAAATAGCAAAGCTGCTTTATTATAGATTTAATATTATAACTATATATTTTTAATTTACCTTTAATAGCTTAACATTAACCGTAACAATATATATAACGTTACTTTCCGAATTAACAAAAATAATAGGAATAAAGATAAATATAATATATTTGGAAAAGTATATAATCCTTACATAATATTTAAAGATAGAAATATTGCCTTTAAATATATTATTATAGGAAAGATAAAGGTAAATTAATATAATAGCTTTATAGTTAAATATATTAATATATATAAATATAAAAGGAGTAAAAAAAGCATTACTACTAATATAAAAGGGAATATAGCTACTATAATAAGAATATTAAATAAAAAAATAGTATAAGTTTTTAAATAAAAATAATATAAAAGGTTAATTAAATATTTAAAAAGTTTAAAGTTATTAAATTAAAAGGCTATAATAAAAGTAGGCATTAATAAAATATTAACACTATAGCTTAATATTAATATAAAGTTATTATTAAAGTAATTAGTACATTATAAACCACTAATTTAAATATAGTTAATAGAAGTTAAGGCCATTATAAAATAACTTATATTAAATTTAAAAGATAATAAATAAATAACATATATTATATAATTAATAAAAATAACTTAAAATAATATTTAAATTTTATACCAATATCTTAAAGTAATACTAATTAATAAAATTAATAATTTAAATAGCTAAAAGGGCTATTATGAAATTATATTTTATTAATAAAGCGGATAATATATATTTAAAACTTTACTTAAGCTATTATAGATCTGTCGTTTAATTTTTATAAAAGATTATATTTTAAAGACTATAAAAATTATTTATTACTCTCCTAAATAATAATTAAGCTATTAATATATATTAGCCTTATATTTAGCTTTAAAATAGTCCTAATATATAAATTATAATTATTATAGATCTTTTATTACTTTTATTTATACCTATCTCCTTTAAAATCCCTATAGCTATTATATCTTTAACTATTTTATCCTTAACTTTATTTTCCACGCTTATTTATATTTTTTAGCCTAGGTACCTTTAATATTAGATCTAAATAATAAATATTTTTAATTTGTTTATATCTTTATCCTTTAACTAATTTAAATAGCTTTATTATTTATATATTAGGTGTTAGTTTTATTAAAGGGTCTTTATTTATTATTAGTTTATTAATAATTATACTTTTTATAATAATAGGGTTATATTAAGTTATAATTAAAGAACCTTTATTAATATTTAAGCTATTATAATTATTGTTATTATTATTGCTATAAAGGTTAATATTATTTTTAACGTTTAATAAATAGAAGGTAATAAATGGATTATTATTAAAATCGACGTTAATAATAACTTAACTATTATTTATTATTAACTTCTTCCTTTTCTTTAATATAAAATACTTAATATCTTATTTATAAGGTTATTAGGTAATATAAATATTAAAGATGGCAATTTTTAAAAACCAATTTAAAATATTTATCTAATCCTATATATATTTAGCCGGGCATTTATTAAAAAGCTTAGCTTTTTAATTTAAAAATAGCTTAATATAAGTATTTAAATTTATATATAAAGCTGGTTAAATTAATTAATTAAAAAGATTTTATAATAGGATATAATATATACCTTTATATTAATGTAATATAAATTTATTATTCCCTTTAATATTAATAAACTTCTTTTAAGGCTTAAATATCTTTAAAAAGTTATCCTTATTAAACCTTTTAATAAAAAAGGCAACTAAAGTCCTAATATCCTTTATCTTAATATAATTCTTTAACTTTAGTTTAGCTATAACTATTATTATATAATCCTATAATAAATGTTAACTATTAATAGTATAAAAAAGAAGGGTAGGTTAAAGCTACCTTAAAGTTTATTAAAACTTTATTTTTTTAAGTTATATAATTCCTGTATAATTGTGATTTAAACTCC